GCTGGCGCGTAGAAGTCGCTGTTTGCACAGAACACCGGGACTTGGGCCTAGTCGCTCCGTCAACAACACGCACTGAACCAGCGCGGTGAAGTACGGTCAAGCAACCTGCCCCCTGCACACTCACCGCTCGCTCGCTCACTCGCTCGCTGGGACTTGCACTGCCTCGGGAAAAGTGGTCCTCATCCAGCGGTGGATAGAGGAAAGCGGGGGCCTCCTCGCCGCGGCTGAGTCCCCACGTGGAAGGGGCGGAGTCCACAAGTGGGAGGGGCGGAGCCCCCACGTGGGCGGGGCGGAGTTCGCAAGTGGGCGGGGCGGAGCGGAGTCCACAAGTGGGCGGGGCGGAGTCACCACGTGGGCGGGGCGGAGTCCACAAGTGGGCGCGGCGGGGTTCCCACGTGGGCTGGGCGGAGTCCCCACGTGGGCGGGGTTCTTTGTTGCCTCTGTGGATGTGTAGGCCTTAACTTTAACATAGCCATTTCTGTGACCAGTCACAAGCTAATCACTCAGCCATTTCAATGCTAAATTACTAGTTGCCTCTGGATGTGTAGGTTTTGACTTTAACATAGCCATTTCTGTGACCAGTCACAAGCTAATCCCTTAGCTATTTCAATGCTAAATTACTAGTTGCCTCTGGATGTGTAGGTTTTGACTTTAACATAGCCATTTCTGTGACCAGTCACAAGCTAATCCCTCAGCTATTTGATATGTAAACCTCTTTGTCAAGGTGCATCACTTCTCCCAACCAGCTTAAAAGTTGCTACGAATCTTAACATCGTTCATTGAAGCTCTGTCGTCCCGACAGGTCTGTTCCTGTCACCTGAAGACGGCCGCTTGCGTTGTGGCCGAAACGTCGTGAGAATTTTGTGTTATTTTATTATTGTATTCTCATTCTACGTGACTTTACCGAAAGAACCAAAGAATATGATAACAAATGTTATGTTAATAGCTTCACAAAGTCAAAGAGCCTTCACTTGTTCGCCAGCGTTGTCAACACGTGGCCTGGGATCTTCTCCAAGTGGTATCCAGAGCCCGGAGGCAGCAGCACATGTCACGTGGTGTTGTTGCAAATTCTCAGAAGTGTTCACATTTGTTTTTGAAGCACCCTGTGTACAGCGAGGGAAAAAAGTATTTGATCCCCTGCTGATTTTGTACGTTTGCCTACTGACAAAGAAATGATCAGTCTAAAATTTTAATGGTAGGTTTATTTGAACAGTGAGAGGCAGAATAACAAGAAAATCTAGAAAAACGCATGTCAAAAATGTTACAAATTGATTTGCATTTTAATGAGGGAAATAAGTATTTGACCCCCTCTCAATCAGCAAGATTTCTGGCTCCCAGGTGTATTTTATACAGGTAACGAGCTGAGATTAGGAGCACACTTAAAGGGAGTGCTCCTAATCTCAGCTTCTTACCTGTATAAAAGACACCTGTCCACAGAAGCAATCAATCAGATTCCAAACTCTCCACCATGGCCAAGACCAAAGAGCTCTCCAAGGATGTCAGGGAGAAGATTGTAGACCTACACAAGGCTGGAATGGGCTACAAGACCATTGCCAAGCAGCTTGGTGAGAAGGTGACAAGTTGGTGCGATTATTCGCAAATGGAACACAAAATAACTGCAAATCTCCCTCGGCCTGGTGCTCCATGCAAGATCTCACCTCGTGGAGTTGCAATCATCATGAGAACGGTGAGGAATCTGCCCAGAACCACACGGGAGAATCTTGTCAATGATCTCAAGGCAGTTGGGACCATAGTCACCAAGAAAACAATTGGTAACACACTACGCCGTGAAGGACTGAAATCCTGCAGCGCCCGCAATGTCCCCCTGCTCAAGAAAGCACATATACATGCCCGTCTGAAGTTTGCCAATGAACATCTGAATGATTCAGAGGACAACTGGGTGAAAGTGTTGTAGTCAGATGAGACCAAAATGGAGCTCTTTGGCATCAACTCAACTCGCCGTGTTTGGAGGAGGAATGCTGCCTATGACCCCAAGAACACCATCCCCACCGTCAAACATGGAGGTGGAAACATGCTTGAGGGTTTTTTTTCTGGTCAGGGGACAGGACAACTTCACCGCATTAAAGGGACGATGGACGGGGCCATGTACCGTCAAATCTTAGGTGAGAACCTCCTTCCCTCAGCCAGGGCATTGAAAATGGGTCGTGGATGGGTATTCCAGTATGACAATGACCCAAAACACACGGCCAAGGCAACAAAGGAGTGGCTCACGAAGAAGCACATTAAGGTCCTGGAGTCGCCTAGCCAGTTTCCAGACCTTAATCCCATAGAAAATCTGTGGGAGCTGAAGGTTCGAGTTGCCAATCGTCAGCCTCGAAACCTTAATGACTTGGAGAAGATCTGCAAAGAGGAATGGGACAAAATCCCTCCGGAGATGTGTGCAAACCTGGTGGCCAACTACAAGAAACTTCTGACCTCTGTAATTGCCAACAAGGGTTTTGCCACCAAGTACTAAGTCATGTTTTGCAGAGGTCAAATACTTATTTCCCTCATTAACATGCAAATCAATTTATAACATTTTTGACATGCGTTTTTCTGGATTTTTTTGATGTTATTCTGTCTCTCACTGTTCAAATACACCTACCATTAAAATTATAGACTGATCATTTCTTTGTCAGTGGGCAAACGTACAAAATCAGCACGGGATCAAATACTTTTTCCCTCACTGTATGTATGCTTGCCAGAAATGAACCACGATAACTTACTGATCAAGGAGCATGAACGAGCAGGCGAGCTTCGGTCATCCTCGCAGCAGCAGCGGCTTCTGGCTGGCAGTCGAACTAAGAAGACGGTGGTCACCGCATCGCGTGGCGCTTCCAGATGCGCTTCGGTGGCCGTCTGGAACGCTCTTCCTTTCGATGTTAGGAAGCCACTGGAGCTATGCACTTTTAAATAATCTACATTTACAAACTAATTTCTTTAATATAGTTTGTTGTCCTTCCCCCGCACCTACGATTAGCACGGTTGCCTACGTACGGTCCAAAAGAAGTTCAAAATACAGGGCGTTTCAAAGAGATGGACCCGATTTGAAATCGCTATATCTCTGCAACCACGAACCGCCCATGAATGAAACTCGTACCACTTCAAAGAGCAGGGAATAGAGTTTCAAATGATTATCAATATATGTCTCTCCCAGCCCATAGCCTCAGTAATTCGCAAGACACACTGCCTCAACGTTGGATAGGTCGCACGGGACCCCAGGACTTGGCTACACTCTTGGGCCCCCAAGATCACCCTCAGACATCATCACACCCTGCGACTTTTTCTTGTGGGGATACGTCAAAGACCGTGGTGTTTTTGTGAGCCACCATTAGCGACTAACATGGATGACCTCAAAAACAGAATCACGGGCGGTGGTGACTTCAGTGTAAAAAGACGCTTTGCGAGGCGTTTGGGACGAATTCAACTATCGTCTCAATGATATCCATACAGCAGGTGGAAGGCACAGAGCATTCATAAAATGGTTAGTAAAACCTGATAACTCATTAAACCGTTTGTAACTGTGTAATTGTAACATGTTGCCATCGTGAAATATACTGCTTTGAAATTGAGTCCATCTTTTCGAAACACCCTGTACATGTGGGGCATGGCCAGGCGTATGAACGCGCCCGTATCGATAAAAAAAACACTAATCGTATCGATTTCCGGCACGTGAATCGAGTGTTTGCGTTTGACAACACAAACTACGCGTGGGAAATCTGCCGCTCATGCTGCGTTTAGGCATTACTGTACACGGTAAACGACAATACAGTATACAGATGTTACAGCCTGGAGACAAGACGCATTTACGTTAACTATTCCCTCGAACGATTCACGATTCCCGACATCAATCGATTCGCTTGGCTAAGACCGCGACGGAACGGCAGCCAAAGGAGGGAATGTGCCAGAGCGCTTCCACCGCCTCAGATGGAGCGATGCGATTGGAGATTACGCAGCAGGGAGTGCGATGGATGGTGGGAGCAGCACTGGAGCTTGAGAGGTTGCGACGGCTCGCGGAGGCTTTCATCCAGCAGTGGATAGACGAGTGTTCTTCATTGGGGCCCTTAGTGCGGTCCCCCGACAACACACAGAGTGAAAACACCCCATCATCATCGTGCTGCTGTCAAACCCCCAATGGTTTCAAACGTGGCGGCCCTCTCTGGACATAATTATTGAACGCTGGGATAGACCATGGCCCATGTTCATTTATCTGGTTTCTTCGGTCATACCACCTGTTGTTATCCATGGTGGTGGTTAACCTTACAAGCTCTATCCAGGCTCAACTCTGCTTCGCTTCCGAGGCCTGCCAAACGCCGGATAAATTGGCCACAGGCATTCTCTTTGCACAGTCTAAAGCATCTCGATGCAGCATCAGTGTAAGCAGCATGGTGGGCCTGGGTTCGATTGCTCAGCTCGGACGCCTCCGTGTGGAGTTATGGGCTACTCATGTTCTGCAGTGTGGGTTGTTTGTGTCAGTGTGGAGTTTGTATCTGCAGTTAGCGCGCTTCGCTACGAACCTGGTGACCCGAGTTCAATGGCCGCTCACGGCCAACACCAATTATCTGAACCGGTCCTGGGCCTCCCCTAGGTCACCTCAGCCTCAAATAAGTACCTGATGCGGTGTGTAAACAGCATCACTGTGGCGTGCCGGCCTTCTTAGGTGCTCGCTAACAGCACTTGCCCCAACAGTCTGTTAAGGCTACACGGATATTCTCCCATAGCTAAAACAAATCCCCACACAATGTAACCAGTACGGACCAAGCTGCCCCAAGCTTAAAAATTACCTGAACATGTCACAATTGGGATCACACGCAGCAGCAGTGACATCGCCCCCCTACTGCAGAAACTTAGCAAGACCCTCCTGAAAAAAAACCTTGAGACTCACAGCTTTCCGGGGTAAAGCGTAGTAGTAGTAATATTAATATAACAGCTCACTCCACCTCTTCACAATGTCAAGTAAAAAAAAATCAAGTCATCTCTGGCTCAAATAAGCAGTCATCGGCACTCATCCCCTGCTTACAGCCCCGGGCAGAAACTCCAAATCCCATCGGTGGCTGCAGGAGTGTGGGACAACCACTGCCGACTACAAAGTGATGCTCATTTTTATCGAACACCTCGGAGGGGTTGGATGATGAGCCAAGGAAACCCGCCCCACCCCCCCCCCCCCCCCCCCCGTCAGGATTCGAGCTCGCAACCTCACACCCACACGCCGTCTGCTCCACGGCCACGTGGCCCACTCACACGGCCGGCCACAACCGCGCCACACAACCGCAGCGACGGCGGCGAGGTTACCAAAACAAATAATTAAGTCCGTTTATTGCCGATCGCCGAAAAAGAAAGCCACACGAGGAACGCGGGCACGGCGCCGGCGCCGGCGCGGCCGAGATCGTCACCGACCCCCACGCCGCCTGGTCCGGTCGCCACCTCCCCCCCCCCTGCCACCCCGCTCTCTCATCATCGCCGTCGCTCGACCTTCTGGGCCTTCTTGCGCTTCTCGTCTTTCTTCTCCTGCTTCTGCACTTTGTCCTTCTCCCGCTGCGTCTTGTCCTGCTCCTTCTTGCGCTGCGAGTCCTCGCGTGCCTGCTCGCGCTGGAGACGCTGCTTCTCCGCCACCGTCTCGGCGTTCGTGTTGCGGAACAGAGCTGCACGCACGGCCTGCGTTAAGCAATGCAACGGGAACTCCCGTGGAAGATCACCCAATGCCAAAGTCATCCGACATCATTCGTTCGTTCGTCACGCATAGTCGGCGAAGGAGCGTTGCGCCAAACGTGCGACCTCTTGCGTTACGCAATCCATGGAGAGCGTTCGCACGATTTTTAGCCGACCGGTCTCGATTTGTTGCTTAACAAATGGGGTTGCGATTGATTGGTTTGCAGCCTCTCTGCCAATAATCCACTGCTGGATGAGGGCCTCGTCGTGGGGGTTACTGGACCATGCTGCACCACGCCGGTCAGTGCGGGTTAGTAAAGACGCAGAAGCGTATGGCAGTAGAGTGCATTGATGACTGTGTTTTGCTGATGAGTCCCAATGAGGCTGAAACCAGTCTACAGTCGTCTTCACTTCACTGCTGCTACCCAATGTAGGGATGAGCCACATTTTCTAAACTGTTTGAGTCGGTGGATTCTACATGGTAACATGGCCACACATTCAGTTTGTTTTGAGCTGGTGGTCTGGACAAGGCTGAGAGCTGTTGTACAAATGATGCTGCACACCCTTTGCTTTTAAATCTCGACATGGGGAGCATATAAATTACAGCGCAATAGATTTTGATACACTGCCTTCTGTAGCCCATCACGTAGCGCAACCACCGCAGCAGCCTATAACACCCGTTATTTACGGCGGCCGTCCAGCCAAGCAGGGCCCAGGCTCTATCATTCACACGGCTAGGATAGACACCCAAGTGCCACCAATTCTTGCGAGAGGAATATTTACATTTCACAGCACGCGCACACATCGGTGTGCAGGACCGCAGCGTACAAAAGCTCCCGGCCTTACCCAGACCACCAGGCTCAACAGAACTGAATGTGTGGCCTTGTTATCACGTAGACCCACCGACTCAAAGAGAGCCGAGTTAACGTGGTGATCCCCGAAGAACGTCTACGACATCCGACGGGCTGAGCGCGCTGATCGGTGCCCCGTGGTGGAGCGTAAGGATACATTTGCTCTTGTCCGTCACTCCCGCGGGCTTGGCTGCCGTGGCTCCTTCCGTCTCCTCGCTCTCTTCAGTGCGGCAAGTAAAGGGGTTAACGTCACCAAGGGCACAACGACAAAGATCGCCCCCACGTAGCCTTAACAGGTGAGCAGTACCTATGTATGTGTGTTGAACTTTTTTCGCACTCTTATGTGGCCAAACTACGAAGGCCGGCATGGCACAAAAAAGGGGGTAAGGTGGCCAGCACCATGCCTGGTCACCTTCGTCTCCCTTGTAGCGATGCTGACACACCGCACCAGGTACTCATTTGAGGCGGAGTCAACCTATGGGAGGCCCAGGACCGGTACAGATAATTGTCACTGGTGTTGGCCGTGAGCGGGAATGTAACCCGAGTCGTCGGGTTTGTAGCGCAGCGCGCGAACCGCTGCGACACTTCTCCCAACCTTGGCGCATACACACGTACACACATGTACACACGTACACACACATGTACACACACGTTACACCGTGGGGTACATTCTCCTGCACGGGCACGCACAGCGAGATGGGAAGTGTCAAAAGACTCAGGGCGTGGGGTTCCACGTCAGGGTTCCAAACTAAATTGTAAACTATTTTTCATTTCATACTCTTTGGTTCTATTTTTTTTACCTACGTGACTTTACCGAATAGAACCAAAGAGTATGGATCCTTGCAGTCACGAAAGCTTCAAATCTATTTTTATCTCACCAGGCTAGGCCCACTCAGCTACGTAGCTCTTTTTCAGAAGCGACCTGGCCACAAATGATAGGCTCAACGAAGTGGCTTATCATCACGTTAAAATACTCTAAACACGCGATGTTTATTTTAAATATGGAGGGAAAATCCAGAGGGGGGTCCCCAGAAAAAAATCCACGTGACCACAGGAAGAGAGAGAACACGCAAACTCAACATACAGGCGGCATCAGGGTCGGGATTGAACCCACGACCTCCTGTATACACCAGACGAGGTGGTTAATATTTCTCGTGAGTGAGGATATTCCTCGGCCTCCTCCACGGTGGCATACTGCGCGAGCAGTGCTTCCTTGCGCTGGCGCTCCTCGCGCGTCACCTCACGGGGCTGCACCACCAGCTGGGCCTGCTGCTCGATCATGCTGGCCAGGACCTGCACCTCGTCCCGCGAGCCTGTCTCACACGCACGCACGCACACACAGACGTGTTACATACACAGCTGCCTACACGCCGAAGACCCGCCCATACTGGACATCTGTGAAAGAAAGAGCTTCATAGATCATCGGATTCCTTCAGTCTAAATAAAGATTCTGATTGTGAAAGGTGTCCCCCCCCCCCGAAAGCCTGCACAAACTTTTGGGGCAAGTGCTGTAAGCGGGTAGCACCGACGACGGCCGGCACGGTACACGAGGGAGCGGGTGACCAGCACCGCGCCCAGCCACCTTTTTCACCTTTGCCTCCCCGATTGGTGATGTTTATACACCGAAAGAAGGTTCTCATTTACGGCCGAGTCAAACTAGGGGAGGCCCATGACCAGTTGGGACACTTTCCCATCATGCCTCACGTGCGTTTCGTGTCAGGGATGGCTTTAGAAATGTAAAGATTTGGGATTTTGAAGAACAATTCGGATCTTTACCGGACCGTTACGTAGCGATTTTGAAATATGTTTGTGCTGACCATCGTGACGTCAACGGGTGCCATGCGACGCCACTTTCGGTGGGGGGCCAAAGCATGGAAAGTGACGCCCTATTAGCGTTGTCACTTCCACCCATTCTTTTTGTTGTTGAGCGCCCGGAACTCGGTACCTAGGCGAGATCGTCGCGTTTTTTTTGGGATAATCTGAGAATTGGGAACACATCCCGATACCCGGTTCTGGAGTAGCTACAACGCTTTGTGTTTAACGCGATATGATGAAGTCTGTAACGTGGGGGGGGGGGGGGGGGCGGGGGAGGTGGAGATGGGGGGCAGGGCACGAAAACTCTCAGATTAAAATCCAACACTTCATGCAAGTTTCGCATTATAACATGAAATTCATACGGATCCCCACAGTGTAAAGTACTTGAGTCCGATCCATATAAAGGCTCCTGGAGGCATGAGGCAGGAGTGAGTGTTGACAACTGTATCGTAGCGATGGGTCCTTATTTTTATTATACGTTTATTTACCCAAGAAAGCCTCACCGAGTCTCAAGACTATTGTTCAGGAGGATCCTGCCAAGTTTTCACAATTGGGGAGCGATGCTGCTGAAGCCGTGTGATCCCAATTGAGAAATTTGCAGATTATTTTTCAGCATTGGATTGTTTTGGCCGATATCGGTTAAATTGTGTGGTCATTTTTTTAGCTACGGTAGGAAACTGGGAACTTGAAGGAGACATACAAACTCCACACGGAGAGCCACCTGAGTCAGGAATCAAACCCAGGTGCTTCTTGCTGTCAGGTGCGAGTGTCACCACTGTGTAACCCTAATGAGAAGGAAAACGGTCTCCACTTTTTCAACCCTCCAATTCAGTGGCCTCAACATCAAAACGTCGCAACATTCAGCTCGTGAGCTAGTGGTAGAGACAAGGCTAAGATAATTTTACACGTGCAATGTGATCACATGACATGCACGAAACGCATGATGGGGGTCAAGCCTTGGTGCTGTTTGCGCGCAGCACACCGTGACTCGCTCGCCCGCCCACACGCTCGCCCGCCCAACCACCCGCTCGCCCATCCACTCGTTGACCAAATATGACCGAGACCTTATGATAAAGTTGCGTTGCTATTAGGGACTGACCCAAGAGAAAATGGGCCGTGTCGATCCAAGGGTTATAACACAAAATGTGGAGACATGCAAACAGCAGCTCTGCACATCTGAGTTTACCATTGAGGAGTCGCCGTCTCTCTTTGGAAAGGTGGTCCATCTCCCTCCACTTTCTCAGGATCTCCCTGCAAATCGAGTCCAGCGAGTCTTCCTCCTGCGAACGGTGAATACGTGTGCACAGAACGCGTAGAGGTAACAATGGGCGCGCCCTCACAGCGACGCAGAGCTGCTGCCCCGCGCGGGACCATACGCTGCCCATCTCAACCGATTTTAAATTTCACGACTCTGCAACTGTTACCGCGAGAGGATCGTCTACGTCAGTGGTCGGCAACCTGCAGCTTCGGAGCTGCATGCGGCTCTTTAAGGACTGCTTTGTGATGTCACTTATTAAGGACCACCGTCTCGTGTTCAAATCCACTGCGGCTCTTGAAATGTTGAGGTTTTTCCTGAATTCGATAAGAAATGGCCCTTCTTGTTATTTTGGTTGCAGACTCCTGGTCTATGTAATCTGTATATATGCACGATTTAATTAGTTAGCTATCTACTGTATTCATCTCTGTGGGACTGGGAGTGATGTTCGTTGTATACATACAAACGTGTATGTTATAGATTTACAATGTATACAAGTAACTGTGTATGCTATATATGTGTGTGGGAGAGTGGCTGTGTGTGGATGTTCAGGGTGTGAGTGGGAGGGTGAGAGGGTGAGTGTGTATATGTAGCGAGTGGTAGTGTCGTGGTTAGTGCGCTGCAAACCCAGCGACCCGAGTTCGATTCCCGCTCAAGGCCAACACCAGTGACAATTATCTGAACCTGTCCTGAGCCTCCCCTAATTTGACACAGTCTCAAATAAGTACCTGGTGTGGAGTGTAAACATCACCACTGGAAAGACAAAGGCGGTCGGTCCTGGTTCTGGCCACCCACCCCCTCGTGTACCGTGCCAGCCTTCGTAGGTTCTCGCTAACAGCAGTTGCCCCAAAAATCTACTAAGGTTATACGGGTGGATGTTTGTCTTTGACATGTCATGAAATGTGTGCTGTTAACAGACGAGGTCCCTATTTCAAGGGCCTATCTAGGTGAAATATATTAAATAAGAAACATTCCTCTCAACCTAGGCCCAGTGCCTGACCTTGCTGTGTTCATGTGAATCATGTTTTTGCTCAACTCAGTCAAATTAGCCTTGTTCCACCACGACTCAGTATCCCACACTCATCAAATAACAACACACACACACAAAGAGCGTTTTGTGTCAATCAACTGCTGGATGAGGGCCTCTCCATGCCATAGTTGTTTGACCATACTTCACCACGGTTGGGTCAGTGCGGGTTTAGCGAAGGCTGGTGCACAGACGCGGTGGCATAGAAGTGCAGCACACTGGCGGATGTTGCTGCACTGACCGCCATGCAGTCCCTAATTTATTAGGTCGGGCTTTCAGAAACAAACAGTACTCATAATAAAGTTATTTTGGGTTAGATCGCGTATGTTGTACTAGATCCAACTTAAAGAGCCTTAGCTCTCCAAAACTCCCCAGCATTATCCAGACTCAAACCTGCTTAGCTTCCGCATATCTGCCGAGACTGGTGGGTGATTTGGTCACAGAGCAAGGGCTCAATTCCGTGGGAGGATAAGGTGGGGGTGTCTGCTGCGCTATCTTTAGCGGGCACCGTCGCTGCCACTCTCTGTGTTATCGGTCGCCCGAGTCCGGGGCCTTTAGCAGCTGCAACTAAAAATAAAAAGCCACCGATTTATTCTTGGCCTCGGAGCGCAAGGTCAGTCTGCTGTGCTTCAATATTGCAATGGCAGTCGTACCACCACCACCACCACCGTCACGGTCATCATCATCAGCACGGTCAATCCACTGCTGGATGAAGGCCTCCATCGCCAGCCGTCACCGCGTCTCGCAGTCCCACGAGAGCGATTCACCAAGCACCCGTACAGCAAGGGGGGCCTGGGCTATATTCCCCACGCGGCTACATTTTCTACGTGGAGTTTGTATGCTCTCGCTCTCCCCCTTATCTTCATGGGTTTCCTCCTGGTTCTCCGGTTTCCTCAAATTGCTTAAACTATTTTATGTTACCAGGTAAGGCCCACTGAGCTATATAGCTCTTTTTTCAGAAGCGACCTGGCCACAAATGATAACTCAAGTGGCTTTTGTGGAAATGTAGCAGCCAAATACGTTAAACGCATGTTGATTCTAAATGTGGAGGTGATAAAACCGGAGCACACGGAGAAGAATCCGCGTGACCACGGGGAGAGAGACACGCAAACTCTAAATATACAGCAGCAGCAGACGTCAGGGTCGGGATCGAACCCACGACCTCCTGCACACCAGGTGAGGTAGTTAACATCTCCTAGCCACAGTGGCGCCCACATGCACATTCGCAATGTAAATTGGTATGAGCCAAAACATCCCAATGCTGGAAAAATATCTGCAAATAAGACTCAGTTGAGAACACGCAACAGCGGCAGCATCGCCACCCCCCCCCCCCCCGTGCTGCAAAACACTCGAGTCTCGAGACCCGATGAGGCGTGTATGGGTAAACACGTGTAGACACACCGTGATCGACACGTCGTATGCACGCTGTTTAGAGGCGAGAGAGACCTCCTATGAGGTGGACATTATCATCTGTATTGTTACTTGCGATTGTTTTACCCAGCAAAGCTGGTCTCTTTTTTCAGGTGGGGGGGGGGGCTTTCTGCCAAGTTTGCACAGCAGGCGAGGCGATTATTGCTGCTGCTGCGCCTTCCAATTGAGTCATTTGCGGTTTAAAATCTTTCAAATCCGGCACACGGTGGCCTACCGTGTATCTTTAACGTGTCCACCTTGCCACCCTGAAGCAGACGGCCCGCGGTATCTAATTAATGGGCAATGCGCCGGCAGTACGAATCGGGGGGGTTCCCACACTGGATTCACATCGCGAACGTCTCTCCAAGCGGGCCACGGCCACCGCCGCGTGTCTAGTGGTGAAATCGCGGGGGGCCCGCGTTTGGCCCCGCGTGGGGGGGGGGCGCGTTTGGCCCCGCGTGGGGGCCGCGTTTGGCCCCGCGTGGGGAGGGGGCCGCGTTTGGCCCCGCGTGGGGGGCCGCGTTTGACCCCGCATGGGGGGGGGGGGGCGCGTTTGGCCCCGCGTGGGGGGGGCGTTTGGATCCCGCGTAGGGGGGCCTGCGTTTGGCCCCCCGCCGGGAGGTGCCGCGTTTGGCCCCGCGCGTGGGGGGGGGGCCGCGCGTCCCTCGGCTACGGTGGAGGTCTTCCACGCCCGAGCCCTTACCGCCACGACTGCGGACAGCACGGCCCGCATGGCTTCCTCCTTCTCCTCGTCCGAGTCGTCCTCCTCGCCCAGGATGCCCGCGAGGTACGACCCGTACACCTCGGCCTCCACCTGCATCGCCTCCAGCCGCCTGCTCAGCCACGGCGCGAAGTCAGACTCCGCCATCAAGTCGAGTGGGCGAGCTCCTCGGTAACAACGAAGTGTCCCGGGGGGGTTCCTTCTCAACTCTTGCTGCCCCAAGTCCTCTACGGCGCGTGAGGGCTGCGGCTAGCTGGAAGACGACGTTGGGGTGATGGTGGTGGTGGTGCCGCCGCCGCCGTCCTCTCGATGTGGCGAGGCTGGGACACGACACCGCCTCGTGCGTGGCGGGATCGAGCTACTTGGCAGGGGCTGCCTGTGGGACTCGTGATGGAGAGCGCGCAGGTGGATCGGATTTCTGTGAGAGGGGAGAGCGGAGAGGGGAGAGCGGAAGGGGAGAGCGCTCGCTGCCGGCGGCGGGTGCTGCTGCTGCTGTGGTGAGGAGAGCCGCAAGATGGAGGAGGCGGCGTCGTGCTCGCTGACGCGAGGTGGTCACAGGTCAGGGGCGGCGGTGTTGAGCACAAGCGGCGGCTCGCTTTAACTCGCCATCTCTCCCTCACACACGTACACACACACACCGTCAACTCCTCATCGACACAGCCTCGCGGAGCGGGCGCCAGAGCCGTCACAACATTCCCCAAGACAACAAAAAACAACAAAAATTTATTTCCCCCCCCCTCCTCACAACATTTGGCGGGGTTTAACATTTTTTTTTAGTGCAGAGTATATTCGCGTAATAAATTGAGGGCGACTTTTGCTCACTTTTGTGGCGCTACACTGGAGAATATTTACGCATGGTGGTGTTTTAGAGAAGAAAAACTGCGTGCCGCAGTTTTGCGTGAATTCGCACTTGGCAATTCCCTTGGTGCGTTTGAGCCCCAGGAGGCCCCGTAGCGCCACCCCCACCGCCCGCCTCCACGTGAGGCGTGATGGGGAGGTGGTGATGGGGAGGGGGTGACCGGGGGAGGGGGAGGGGTGACCGGGGGAGGGGTGACTGGGGGGGAGGGGTGACCGGGGGAGGGGGGGGGGTGACCGAAGGAGGGGGGGGGGGAGTGACCGGGGGAGGGGGGGAGGGGGTTAACCGGGGGAGGGTGGGGGTGACCGGGTGGATGGGGGGGGTGACCGGGGGAGGGAGGAGGCTGACCGTGTGAGGGGGGTGACCGAGGGAGGGGGGATGGTGACCGGGGGAGGGGGGGGGTGACCGGGGGAGGGGGGGGGGTGACCGGAGGAGGGGGGGGGGGGTGACCGGGGGAGGGGGGTTGTGACCCCAGGTTGTGAATAGGAACCAGAATCAGAATTTTTAGACTGCAGGAAGAATCCGATGAGCTATGAAGCTCTTTTAAACAGATGTCCAGTATGGGGGGTCAGCAAGTTACAACGGCCAAACAATACAATGGCTGTAATGTTTCCATTTTAGCACTGTCCTTTGCTCACCAGTTTTTTAATCCCTCACATTAACATAACCTTCTCCGCTCAATATTCCGAGGCCCACCGTTTTTAATCCCCCACATTAACATAAGCTCTTCCGCTCATGGTCCCCCAGGGCTCTTGTGCCCCACGCACTCTGTTCTGACACTTGGGCTACGTCCATTTAAACCTTTATAAACAGGTCCCTGCAGGGTGGGCTGGTAGGACAAGTCTGTGCGCTGTCTATTGCTGATTTTACACCCAACAGCACGAGATTTCACTTCGTTAAAGTATTGAAAGGGGACGGACGGACGGACACATTAATCTATTGCAGGCTGGTACACTCAGTTTACAACTTCGTTCCTACCAGGAACAGTTTGCCTTTAGAGGCTAACCCCTCGTTTTTTTCTCCACCTGATGGCGACTGCTTGTGTTGCGATCGAAATATTGTAGTTTTATGTAATATTTGTTTTACCTATCTACATGACTTTACCGAAAGACCCAAAGAATATGAATTCCTGCAGTCATGAAAGCTTTAAGTCAAGATGTAACCGCCTCTACGGGGAGGGTTTTCACACAACTATCATATCTTTTAACAAACTTCGAGACAAGAAGGCTCATCTGATCGAGTCACTCACATTCCTGAAGAGATGCTGCGACACTAAGGTAATACCGATCGCCTTTACATTTACATCTGCTGCTGTCACTTCTCCCAATGCTTAACGGATCTTGTTCAGGGCCGGCTTAGCCCTGATCTCAGAGAGAATAAGATTGCTCCGATTTTAACTAGATAATTTAGTCAAGACTCTCCTGAAATAACACTTAACATTGATGGAAAAAATGTCTACATCTGATTGGAAACATGTAGATAACATGACAGCCTCTTCAGCTGCCTCAATATCAGCTAAATCCAAGTTCAACCTGCTTTCAAAGAAGAAGTCAGATCCACACGTTAAAAAGTTAGACGTTGACAAGATTTTGATTTAAAGCTTTCGTGACTGCAGTGATTCATATGCTTGGTTCTTTCGGTAAAGTCACGTTGAAGGGAAACAATAAAATAAGAATATATATAAAACAATTAAATTCTCAGGACGTTTCGACTGTAACGCAAACAGTCATCATCAGGTGTGAAAACCAACGGCAAGAAACATTTGAAAGAAGTGGCGGTTTGCAGTTATTTTTTTATTTTTTAACGTTTGCACCACGGATAGCGATTTGACAGTTTGTTTAGAAGGACGAGTCCATCTATGTTCGGAAAAGAGGAGGGGGGAGACGAAAAATTAATGTATGCTGTCTGAACGCCACCGTAAGCGTGAACAATCAAGACCCGAAATGGTTGATCAAATCCTTCCAATGATTGCTAAGCCAGAATCCATCTTCTTGGTTGAAATTGTCTCTGTGCTTGTATATGTGGATAGGCTCATGAACGAATCTCTCATGGTAGCCCGATGGCTTGCAAAGAACCTCTGTCTTGGAGAAGTCAATGTCATGTGAGCCTACTGAATTATAACAGTGATCTGCCACGGCCGAGGTGTTGGTCCTACCGTGTTTAAGGTCTGCTTTGTGTTCACGAATGCGGTCCGAGACATGTCGTTTGGTTTCTCCAATGTAACTACTACCACAGAGGCAACTTAGTTTGTAGACACCAGGGTACTGTATCCACATATACAAAGACAGAGACAATTTCAACCGAGAAGATGGATTCTGGCTTAGCAATCATTGGAAGGATTTGAGAAACCATTTCGGGTCTTAACTGATTGTTCACGCTTACGGTGGCTTTCAGACAGTATTAATTAATTTTTCGTCTCCCCCCTCCTCTTTTCCGAACATAGATGGACTCGTCCTTCTAAACAAACTGTCAAATCGCTATCCGTGGCGCTAACGTTTTAAAAATAAATAAATAACTGCAAACCGCCACTTCTTTCAAATGTTTCTTGCCGTTGGTTTTTCACACCTGATGATGACTGTTTGCGTTACAGTCGAAACGTCGTGATAATTTTATTGTTTTATATATTATTATTTTATTGTTTCCCTTCAACGTGAGTTGACAAGATTGTTATTAATCAGAGTAAGAGTCTAATTTCCGACAGCCTAAAACCGGTTCTAGCTAAGGGGCTGAATTTCGCAGTCACCCCTAAACACATCTCAGTTGATGATATCATTGCCCAGGTTGACGTAGCCCTTAAGGGTTTGGGACACATCACTGCAGACGTGGCAAGATCGGAAATCGCTGCAATCCTCAAAAACGCTAAGACACCTACATCATGGGACCTCCTTTGCCAGTGTCAAAATATAAGAATAGGTTTTTCCCTTTTTTCTGGCAACAAAACAGGTGTTAAGATGTTAAAACACCAAACTGAAACCTCTTGCAAGGATTCCTTGCGAAACATTTCAGGATTCCTTTCAAAAGGTTTCATTTTGGTGTTTTAACATATTAACACCTGTTTTGTTTCGATTTAAAGCTTTCGTGACTGCAAGGATTCATCTTCTTTGGTTCTTTCAGACAGTCTCGTCCCTTCACCTGATGAAGGCCGCTTGTGTTGTGGCCGAAACGTCGTGAGAATATTATTGTGTTATTTTATTTTATCAATTTATTATTTTATTCTCATTCTATGTGACTTTACCGAAAGAACCAAAGAAGACCTGTTTTGTTGATAGAAAAACAGGGAAAACCTATTCTTATGCTAAGCCACCTATTAGCAACATCAGTAAGGATGAGCGCTTTGAGCTTTCTCAATTAAAAAAGAGATATGACATTGTTAACTTCTTAGCCGACAAGGGCAATGCCACAGTCATCATGGACAAAACCACGTACAATAAAATTCAGGACCTACTTAATGATGGTAGCTATACAAAAAATAAAAGAGATCCCACCAACAGTCTCATTACGAAAACCAACAATATCATCACCGATTCGACATCTTTAATAGAACCAACCGAGCGGTTTTCCTTAAAAGCATCTGCTGCTAGACCACCCAGATTGATTACCAAAAATCCATAAAGAGGATACACCCCTTCGTCCTATCGTTTCCACCATTGACTCACCCACCTACAAACTGGCCCAATTTCTGTCTGAGACCTTACAACCATTCACTAGTAAGACCACCTCAGCTGTACTTAACTCAGCTATCTTGGTATCGTTAATTAAGGACATCTCACTATCTCCAAGTGATTTGCTCATTAGTTTCGATGTAGTCTCTTTGTTTACCAAAGTTCCTGTGCCTGAGACCATTGCAATCATTGAAGACTTGGTACAACAAGGACTGAATGCTGATGTACCGGCCCTGGTGAGACACTGCCTCACCAACACTTACTTCACCTGGGATGGAACTTTCTAGAAACAAGTTGAAGATACCCCAATGGGTTCTCCCGTATCTCCAGTTGTAGCCATTGTTTTCATGGAAAAATTTGAGACAGATGCCATCCAGGCATCCACTCTACATCCGTCCTTGTGGAAGAGGTACGTAGATGACACGTTCGTCATCTGGTCACATGGCCTACCAGCTCTGAACCAATTCCTCAACCACATCAATTCCATACACCCAGCCATAAAATTCACCATGGAGGTGGAAAAGGATGGCAAGCTACCATTCTTGGATGCTTTAATCTAAAGGAGATCAGATGGCTCAATGGTACACTCTGTCTACAGGAAAGCCACCCATACGGATTCATATATACAACCTGACTCCCACCACCATCCTTCCCAGAAGAATTCCCTCATCAAAACTCTACACCATAGAGCCCGATGTATTCCCGACAATCATCACCTAGCCAGTGAACTGGAACACGTACACCAAGCTCTCAAGATGAATGGATATTCAGACTACACAATCCGTAAAGCTATCACCCCAACCGCTCGACGTGGCTGCTCTGCGATCTCACATTAACATGCTAACCTCTCACATTAACATGCTAACCTCTGACATTAACATGCCAACCTCTCACATTAACATGCTAACCTCTCACATTAACATGCTAACCTCTCACATTAACATGCTAACCTCTCACATTAACATGCTAACCTCTCACATTAACATGCTAACCTCTCACATTAACATGCTAACCTCTCACATTAACATGCTAACCTCTCACATTAACATGCTAACCTCTCACATTAACATGCTAACCTCTCACATTAACATGCTAACCTCTCACATTAACATGCTAACCTCTCACATTAACATGCTAACCTCTCACATTAACATGCTAACCTCTCACATTAACATGCTAACCTCTCACATTAACATGCTAACCTCTCACATTAACATGCTAACCTCTCACATTAACATGCTAACCTCTCACATTAACATGCTAACCTCTCACATTAACATGCTAGCCTCTCACATTAACATGCTAACCTCTCACATTAACATGCTAACCTCTCACATTAACATGCTAACCTCTCACATTAACATGCTAACCTCTCACATTAACATGCTAACCTCTGACATTAACATGCTAACCTCTCACATTAACATGCTAACCTCTGACATTAACATGCTAACCTCTGACATTAACATGCTAACCTCTGACATTAACATGCTAACCTCTCACATTAACATGCTAACCTCTGACATTAACATGCTAACCTCTGACATTAACATGCTAACCTCTGACATTAACATGCTAACCTCTCACATTAACATGCTAACCTCTGACATTAACATGCTAACCTCTGACATTAACATGCTAACCTCTGACATTAACATGCTAACCTCTCACATTAACATGCTAACCTCTGACATTAACATGCTAACCTCTGACATTAACATGCTAACCTCTCACATTAACATGCTAACCTCTCACATTAACATGCTAACCTCTCACATTAACATGCTAACCTCTCACATTAACATGCTAATTTATTCTAATTCTACCTACGTGACTTTACCGAAGGAACCAAAGAGTATGGATTCCTGCAGTCATGAAAGCTTAAAATCAATATCAACATGCTAATTTATCACATTAACATGCTAATTTTTCACATTGACATGCTAATATCTCACATTAACATGCTAATTTCTCACATTAACATGGTCATTTTTCACATTACATGCTAATCTCTCACATTAACATGCTAATCTCTCACGTTCACATGCTGACCTCTCACATGCACATGCTAATTTTTCTCATTCACATGCTAATTTTTTTACATTAACATGCTAATTTTTCACATTAACATGTTAATATCTCACATTAACATGCTAATTTCTCACATTAACATGGTATTTTTTCACATCAGCATGCTAATCTCTCACATTAACATGCTAACCTCTCACATTAACATGCTAATCTCTCACATTAACATGCTAACCTCTCACATCAACATGCTAACTTCTCACATTAACATGCTAATTTTTCACATTAACATGCTAATTTTTCACATTAACATGCTAATATCTTATATTAACATGCTAACCTCTCACATTAACATGCTAATTTTTCACAGTAACATGCCAATATCTCACATTAACATGCAAATTTCTCTCATGCACATGCTAATTTCTCACATTAACATGCAAAATTTTCACATTACCATGCTAATATCTCACATTAACATACTATCTCACATTAACATGCTAACCTCTCACATTAACATGCTAATTTATCACATTAACGTCACTAGCCCCGCCCACTTTGTTTATGACCCTTGGGCTACCCTCAGCCTGTCTCAGCAGCCCGACCACTCTTTCTTCCTCCTGATGACGATCGCTTGTGTTGCGATCGAAACGTCGTTGTTTTTTTTCGTTATTTTCTTTGAACTTATCTACGTGACTTTACCGAAAGACCCAAAGAACATGAATTCCTGCAGTCACGAAAGCTTTAAGTCAAGACCACAGCTAAATAAAAATTCTGCTTTCTATTTTGAGTTTCGACGTGACGTCATCGACAGACGTCGCGATGACGTCACGCACAGCCGTTCTTCCCAATCGAACGAGATGACGTCACGCACAACCCCCCATTGATCGCGATGACGTCACGCAAGCCATCCGTCCCATTAAACGTGATGACGTCACGCCCAGCCGTCCCCAACTGATCGCGATGACGTAATGGCCCGGCCGTTCCCCCCACCACTGATCGCGATGACGTCACCCACAGCCACCGGAACGCAATGGCGGCCTCCACGGTTGGCGACGGCTCCGCTTTGGTCGTCATCGCCAACATCCCCGGCGCGTTTCGCGCCGCGGACCTCAGGAACTTCTTCTCCCAGCTCGTGGAGAGCGGCGCCTTCCACTGCTTCCACTACCGACACCGGCCCGAGCGCGCCGAGCCTAGGCCGTGCCCGGAGACGGAGGCGAGCGGAGACGCCGAGGGGACCCAGTGTCCAGGGGTACAGGGCCCCGGGACCTCGGCCAGGACTGGGGAAGAGGGAGCCGGGACTCGGGGATCGGTAGAGGGACCGGGGACCCTGACGAGAGAAGGGAGACCTGAGACCCAGGCTGAGGGAGGGAGACCCGGGACTGGGAGCCTGGCCACGGCACCCGGGCCACGCCGCCGCTCGAGCTGCTGCTGCGTGGTTCGCGTGCGCGCGGGGAGACTCGGAGAGCTTCTCGCGTCCTACTCGGGCCGCCACTGGGTGGACGCCGCCGGGGACCCCATCCCCTCGCGCTGCCTCGTGCGCAGAGTGCGCGGGGCCCCAGAGCCGGAGTGCGGAGGTGAGGGGGTGTGAGAGGGTGAGGGGGTGTGAGAGGGTGAGGGGGTGTGAGAGGGTGAGGGGGTGTGAGAGGGTGAGGGGGTGTGAGAGGGTGAGAGGGTGTGAGAGGGGTGAGAGGGTGGGGGGTGTGAGAGGGTGAGGGGGTGTGAGAGGGTGAGAGGGTGGGGGGTGTGAGAGGGTGAGGGGGTGTGAGAGGGTGAGGGGGTGTGAGAGGGTGAGGGGGTGTGAGAGGGTGAGGGGGTGTGAGAGGGTGAGGGGGTGTGAGAGGGTGAGGTGGTGTGAGAGAGTGAGGGGGTGTGAGAGAGTGAGGGGGTGTGAGAGGGTGAGGGGGTGAGGGGGTGTGAGAGGGTGAGGGGGTGTGAGAGGGTGAGGTGGTGTGAGGGGGTGTGAGAGGGTGAGGGGGTGTGAGGGGGTGAGGTGGTGTGAGAGGGTGAGGGGGTGTGAGAGGGTGAGGGGGTGTGAGGGGGTGAGGTGGTGTGAGAGGGTGAGGGGGTGTGAGAGGGTGAGGGGGTGTGAGGGGGTGTGAGAGGGTGAGGTGATGTGAGAGGGGATGTGAGAGGGTGAGGGGGTGTGAGAGGGTGAGGGGGTGTGAGAGGGTGAGGGGGTGTGAGGGGGTGTGAGAGGGTGAGGTGATGTGAGAGGGGATGTGAGAGGGTGAGGTGGTGTGAGAGAGTGAGGGGGTGTGAGAGGGTGAGATGGTGTGAGAGAGTGAGGTGGTGTGAGAGGGTGAGGGGGTGAGGTGGTGTGAGAGGGTGAGGTGGTGTGAGAGGGTGAGGTGGTGTGAGGGGGTGAGGTGGTGTGAGAGGGTGAGAGGGTGAGGGGGTGAGGTGGTGTGAGAGGGTGAGAGGGTGAGGGGGTGTGAGAGGATGAGGGGGTGTGAGGGTGAGAGGGTGGGGTGGTGTGAGAGGGTGTGAGATGGTGAGGAGGTGTGAGAGGGTGTAAGGGGGGGTGAGAGGGTGAACGGGGTGTGAGAGAGTACAGGATCATTATTTATGCTGGAGGAATTCGATGAGGTATAAAGCTCTTTTACAGATGTCCAGTCGGGGTGAGTCAGAGCGGGGGGAGGTGACAGATGAGGAAGTGAGAGGATAAGGGTGAGATTAGGTGAAGTGACAGAGTGAGGGATTGTGTAGTGAGGGAGAGGAGTGAGAGTGATGATCTGAGAGGGTCGGGGTGGAAAGGAGGTAGTGGGAAATGAAAGGGTGCGAGTGGACGGGACGGTGGGGGAGAGTGATTAGCACCGTTGACTACGTACGGTGGTCAAAAGTACAAAGAGAAGGGGAGAGGGTGAAAAAAGCTGAGGTTGTGAGATAGTGAAGGGGTGAGGGTGAGATCGTGTGGGTGATGGAGGGAGTGAGGTTGAGGTGATAAGGAGATGGTGAAGGGGTAAGGCTGTGGAAAGAGGGAGCAGAAGAGAGGTTGAGAGTGAGAAATGAAGGAATAAAGAGGTGACGAAAGGTGAGGTGTTTAGGCAGAGGGTAAAGCGATGGGGAGTGAGATGTTGGAGAATAACGTCATTGATGCACAGTTTGGCTATGGCACGCACGATGCATTTCCCTGTAGAGTCTTCTCTGCTTCTCTCCACGTGCGTCCGTCCTCCTCGATATCACAGCCTCGAAATCGTCGCTCTTCCCGTACGCCGTTCACCGCCGGCGCCAGGGTGCCGCGCCCGCCGAGGTGACTGGCAGCGACCTCCTCCTCCTGCCCGAGCTCAACCCCCCATGCCTCATGCCCCAGGGCAACGTTGGCACGCCCTTGGGCACCTTCATGCAGCTGATCCGCTCGTGCCGCCTGCCGCCCCGCATCATTGCCCGCCTGGGCCTCTCCTTCCCCAAGACGGGCTCGTCGCGTCGCTACGGCAACGTGCCGTACAGTTACGCGCTCGGCAGCACGGTGCGTGTGGCCGACAGCGTGCTCACAGGAACCGGGGCCGAGATCGCGCCAGGCGGTGCGACGCTACCGCCGCCATCCCCGTCGTCGGGGCTCCAGGGAGAGCGGACGGGAGAGTCGCAGCAGGGAGAGTCGCAGCAGGGAGAGCAGCAACAGGGAGAGCGGCGTGGGAGCGAAGCCGGTGGCCGTACAGGGAAGGAGAGGATGGGAGGACGGAGTCTGCGGAGGAGAAAGACGGAGCTGCCGAGTGAAGATGAGGAGCCTGAAGATGAGGAGGAGTCGCACTCAGACGATGTGAGGAGGAGGCTTCTTCGTGTGCCTGACGTATGCGTGTAAAGCTTTGTGGGGTTATTAACACGCAGACCCGGCGTTTCTCACAATTGCAAATGTGTACTTCGTGATGGATTGCAACCACACTCGTGCGAGGAGTGGGATATTCTCTGATATCAGAGAATATCGCTTGTGTAATTGTAATTTTAATTGACCTCAGGTCTGTGGGTGAGTGGGATGGTATGGGATGGGCAGTACGGGGTAGTATGGGTGGCGGGCGTGTTGTGACCTGCAGTGTGGTTGTTGAACAGTGTGGATGAGACAGAGTCCTCCACATGGTGTGTGTACATACACGTATGGATGCGTGTCTGTGTATCTCTATTTAGGGAGCGGCGGTGTGCGTGCTCATGCAGGAGACTACCTCGCGGTGTAACGTGTGTACGTGTGTATGTGTGTGTGTATGCGCCAAGGTTGGGAGAAGTGTCGCAGCGTTTAGCGCGCTACGCTACAAACTCGGATAACCCGAGTCGACTTGGCCTCAAATGAGTACCTGGTGCGATGTGGAAACCTCGCCACTGGGGAGACAAAGGCAGCCCCATCGTGCACCGTGTTGGCCTTCACACCGTACGTAGCTAACCGCGCTGATGGGACGTGCGAGGGAAGGACAACAAACTAAGCTCAAAAATCAGTTCTAAACAAATGAGTTTTCAATCTAGATGATGATTTAAAAGTGCATAGCTCCAGTGGCCGAATATCGAAAGGAAGAGCGTTCCAGACGGTCCGCAGATGCGCATATGAAAGCGTGCGATGCAGTGACCATCTTTGTTCGATGTCTTGCCAAGAGTCGCTTCGAGGATGACCGGAGTTCGCGTGAAGGTCGATGCTCCTTGACGGGGGGGATCTTTGTCTTTGGGGGGTTGCAGGACGACGACTCGTGCGAGGAGTGGGAGCGGCACGAGGCCCTGCACGAGGACGTGACGCGGCAGGGCCGCTGCGACGAGCGCCTCTACGAGGAGGAGATCGAGCTCAAGTGGGAGAAGGGAGGCAGTGGCCTCGTCTTCTACACCGACGCGCAGCTCTGGAAGGAGGCGGAGGGTGGTGAGGCACCCGCGCGGAGACGCACGCAAAGATCCCCCGTGTAGCCTCGACAGGCTGTGGTGGGGTTTGGTGGCAACCGCTGTTCACAAAGATCTCCCGTGTAGCCTCGACAGGCTGTGGTGGGGGTGGGGGCAACCGCTGTTCATGAGCAGCACCTGCGCAGGTTAACACGGCGCACCTATGAAGGGGGGTGGCCAGCACATTAACAAAGATCCCCCGTATAGCCTTAACAGGCTGTTGGGACAAGTGCTGTTAGTGAGTACCTATGAAGGCCGACACGGCACACGAGGGGGTTGGTAGTGAGCACAACGCCCGGCCGCCTTTGTCTTCCCAGTGGCGATGAGTCGACCTAGGGGAGGCCCTGGACCAGTTTAGATAATTGTCACTGTTGGCTGTGAGCGGGAATTTAAATCAGTTTACCAGGTTTGCAGCACGCTAACAGCTACACTACCGCTCCCCCTTTATTCACTGACACTCACACACTGATATTCACACACATTGATATTCACACACACTGACATTCACAAAGGGTACACAATTGGGGAAACAAAATAAAACAAGAACGAGAAATCCATTTAAAGTGTTTATTTTGTGACATTGCGGTTACGTTTGAACCCGTATTGGCGTGACCACAATAAACCAGACCTGCTGATGGTGCCCGTTACGTTGCTCGCGTTACGGTGATGGTGCTTTTGATGGTGACACCGACTACGATATCGACGACATTCATGCTAATAGCATCCCCATAACGCTAATCCTGCTTTGTTTCGTCACCAGATTTTGATGCCCAGACGTCGGACGACTGGGACGTGGACATGAGTGCATACTACGACAAAGGTGAGCGAACCCTCTCCCACCGTAGACACTTAGGCCCACCCCCCCCCTGCACAATAACAGACCCCTACCATCTCACAGACCCCCACAATCATAGACCCCCACGATAACACAGACCCTCTCCACAATCACAGACCCCCCCCCCCCCCACAAATACACACCCTCTCCCAAATCACAGACCCTCTCCACAATCACACAGACCTCCCCACAACAACCCAGACCCTTCAACAATGACAGACCCTCCACAATAACAGACCCCCCCCCCACAATCACTTAGACCTTCCCCCACTCACACAGACCCCCCCCCCCCCCCCCCCCACAATCACATAGACCCTGCCTCCCCGCTGTGTTTATGCCACTCTCGTCTCCTGTCTCTCTCCCCGGCACAGACGGAGGGGACATGGATGCGCGTGACTTCGTGACGCTGCGGGAGGAGGGCCGGCGCCGGCGCGGACTCGACGATTCGGCGGAGCTCGAGGCGCGAATCGGCGGCTTCGAGCGGCACACGCGGGTGAGTGAGGCGCTGGCACCTTCGCCGAGCGCGGCGCATGCGGTGTCACGGCCCTAACATCCGACGCGCGGCCTCAATACCGACAGATTCAATACTGACCACCACCCCCCCCCCCGCCTCCGTTTCAGGGTTTTGGGCGCCGACTGTTGGAGAGGCAGGGTTGGCGGGACGGCCTCGGGCTGGGCGGCTCGCGCAGCGGGATGGCTCAAGCGCTGGAGGGAGACGGGCAGAACCCCAAGTGCCGACACGGACTCGGGTAACGCACGGACCGCGGAGCGATGACACCCATCACACTCACGGCTGTGTGCGCGAGAGCCACAGACATGAGAGTCGTGCGCGGTACATTCGCAAAAATTGCATTCATACCAAATAGGTCCACACTGTGATGTAAGGGCGCCACCGTGGTGAGATGTTTTTACTGCCTTGCTCCGGGATGCAGGAGGTCGTGGGTTCGATCCTGACCCCCGACGCCTGTATATTTGGAGTATGCATGTCTTTATCTGTAGGCGTGTGGATTTTTCTCCGGGTCCTCCGGTTTTTCACTTCACGTTTAGCAACACGCGTTTTATGGGAATACATTTCCACGTGATGAGCCACTTCGTTGAGCTATTGTTTGTGGCAAGGTCGCTTATGAAACATAACCATGTAGCTCAGTGGGCCTTACCTGGTAAAATAAAAAGTTAATAGTTTATACACTGAATTAATAGGCCCACACTGTTGTAAGAAGCAATTATTCTAACATTGTGTACACCTATTATGTACGTTGTGTCTGCTGTGGATGGGGGGCGCAGCTATCGAGGGGAGAAGCTGCAACGTTTCTCCCTGGTGCCGAAGCGGCGACGCCGAAGCGGGGAAGATGACACGGATGCCGTCGTCATTTCCACCGTGTATGACGCTCCGCTCGCCCGCGACCAGCCCAGCTCGCTGCTGCGGAGACGAGGGCATGGGCGGCTCAAGCTCCGCGACGGAGGAGACGCAGGGAGACGGGGTGCGACGTAGGAGACAGACACGGGGTGTGACGTAGGAGACAGTTACGGGGAGACGGGGTGCGACGTAGGAGACAGACACGGGGAGACAGACACGGGGAGACAGACACGGGGAGACAGACACGGGGAGACAGACACGGGGAGACAGACACGGGGAGACGGAGTGCGACGTAGGAGACGGACACCGGGAGACAGACACGGGGAGAAGGGGTGCGACGTAGGCGGACACGGGGAAACGTAGACAATGTCCAACGTGCGGGAGACAGGCTCAGGGAGGATGGGGACAAGCAGATGTACAGGGGTATACCTAGAGAGAGACGTGGAAAGATCTGACTGTGATGACCTTAAAGTGCACTTAGCTTGGTACAAGCAGCTTGGCGACGGCACAGCCATGGAGTGGCGAATGGCAGCTGTTATCAGCCAACACCATCACGTGTGCGGTCATCTTTATTCCAAGGTTAAAATTTGGTTTTATTCACAAATATCCCAAGTAAAACACAATTTGTTTATAATAAAATCGTGTTTTTTTTTATGTCTCCGACTCTACTGGGAAGAGGCTTGGTTTGGGAGCCTATGAGTGGTGGCAGTGGTTAGCGCACTGCGCTGCAAACCCCACCCATCAGTTCAATTCCTACTCAGACAACACTGGTGACTAATTTCCCGGGCCTGCCATACGTCAACTCAGCCTTGGGGAGACAAAAGCGGCCAGCCATGCTGATGGCCACCCACCCCTCACGTCTTGTGTGCTACTCGCTAACAGCACTTGCACGTTTTCTGTTAAGGCTAAACAGGGGATCAGTCTGAGACTTGGATTCCACTTCTTTACCCTGGATAAAACTCGTTAATGAGGACACCATCTCCTTAACATGAACAAACTCGTAACCATATTCTTAGCTCTTTCGGTAAAGTCACGTTGAAGGGAAACAATAAAATAATAAAATATATAAAACAATAAAGATTCTCACGACGTTTCGACCATAACACAAACGGTCATCATCGGTCGTGACCATTTGTGTTATGGTCGAAACGTCGTGAGAATTTTTATTGTTTTATATATATTTTATTATTTTATTGTTTCCCTTCAACGTGACTTTACCGAAAGAGCTAAGGATATGAATTACTGCAGTCACGAAAGCTTTAAATCAAAATTTAAACTCGTAACCACTTGACAAAAACTCGTTACCGTGATGGGGGTAGCGGCTGGGAGGAGCCGGGAGCCCCACGGCGCCAGCAGAGAGGAGCAGCGACGGCCTCCTCCAACTCGTGCACAATCCACATCCGCACGTTCGCGTAACGCCGTCGCGGACTCCTCTGTTGCATTTACTTGGCTACGCCAAAGCTGGCATGCCGAGTTCCGATTCCCGCTCACGGCCAACACATCAGTCGTGGCCCTTGATGCACAAATGGAAGATTAAAAAAATATATATCTGGGCAGCGTGCGGAGCCTGTGGTCACCAGCCAGAACAGAACCATGGAACTTGTAACATCGACGGCATCACCACAGCGATGCGCCACTCCGCTCCTCCTCACTGCGCATTACTCCGGCTCAATCACCTCAGTGTAAAATTACAGCTGTTGCTCTTCATCAACATCGAAGTGCAAATATCAGTCTAGCGCCACTACCCGAGGTTGACTCGGCACCACGCGCTGGCCACACCGTTCCCTTGCATGCGCCTTGCCAGCCTTCGGAGGTTCTCACAAACAGCACCTGCCCCACCGGTTTCAGTAGGCTAATGCAGGGGATCTGTGTCTTTGTATGCGCCAGCGTCCTCGGTCACAGGAGCCCGATGCGGCTCCGCAGCTGCTCCACGTGTTCTCGCGTCACCTCTTCCAGCCTCACGAGTAGCGGTGCCTCCCCCCCCGCCTCCCGACCCTCCGCCGCGCCAAACTCCAGCTCCATGAGACAGCATAGGTCCACCAGCCGCCGCTGACACTGCTCCAGGGCCTGCGAACCCAACCGGCGTCCCCCTCATCAGCCCGTAGCACTCTCTCACCGTGCGGTAACGAGCTATACACTTATTTTGTCAGGAAAGGCCCATTGAGCTGTATAGCTCTTTTTTTGAGAAGTGACCTGGCCACAAACGATAGCTCAACGAAGTGGCTTATGTGGAAATGTATAGCAGCCAAATACTTAAAATGCACGTTGATTCTAAATGTAGAGGGGAAAACTGAAGGACCCAGAGAAAAATCCACGTGACCACAGGGAGAGAGACAAACTGCAAATATACCGGCGTCAGGGTTGGGATCAAACCCACGCCCTCCTGAATACCAGGCGAGGTAGTTAACATCTGATCAATGCCACGGTTGATCGCCAGGTTGCATGTGGTGCAGTAAATCGTGAGTACTCCGCCCCCACGTCTTCCAAGAAGTCTGGCCAGCGTGGAAGAGTAGGCCAAATACCTACGAGACGGGCTCTCTAGAGCGTACCCTCGCGGAGGGCCCTTCGGCCAGCAGTGATGTGAGCGAGTAATTGCTGGGATGCACTTTTACCTTTTACACACGAGGCCAGGTGGGTCAGAGGTTAGAGGTCAGAGCGCTGAGCCGGTACCGCTTAAGAGCCTGGGTTCCAATCCGGGTCTCGGCTGCACGACTACAGCGAGGGGGTCTTGGCTACAGTCAGTTGATGGTCGCCGATGACTCCGCACAGAGACCCATAGACTTAGGCTGAGATGCGATTAAACCGGGTTCTCAAGGCCAGCGAGTTGATGGTCCCAGGGTGGTCTGGGTATGTGTGTGTGTGTGCGTCTGGTCTCATCAGATCTCAGAAGCTAAGCAGAGTTGGGTCTGGATAGTGATCAGATGCGAGATCATTGCTCACAAATGTGCTATAGGCTGCTGCGGTGCTACATCAGAAGTGCTGCAAAATACATGGTATTGCCGTACTGTGCTGTGATGTCAAAGCTCCACTCACTTCACCAACCTGCACTGACGGGCATGGTCAAGTATGGTAAAATGAACCACCATGACGCGCACGGCATGAGAAAGCTGCCATCTAGCAGTGGATTGACAAATTGACTGCATGTACCTGTGTACTGCACGCGTGTAATCGTGTCTGTGTGCTGCCCTCGTGTGATTGTGTGCTGCAATCTTGTGATCGTGTCTGTGTGCTGCAATCTTGTGATCGTGTCTGTGTGCTGCACCCGCGTGATCGTGTCTGTGTGCTGCACCACGTGATCGTGTCTGTGTGCTGCACCACGTGATCGTGTCTGTGTGCTGCACCCCCGTGATCGTGTCTGTGTGCTGCACCCGCGTGATCGTGTCTGTGTGCTGCACCCCCGTCATCGTGTCTGTGTGCTGCACCCGCGTGATCGTGTCTGTGTGCTGCACCCGCGTGATCGTGTCTGTGTGCTGGTCAAGCGTGATCGTGTCTGTGTGCTGCACCACGTGATCGTGTCTGTGTGCTGCACCCGCGTGATCGTGTCTGTGTGCTGCACCCGCGTGATTGTGTCTGTGCTGCACACGCGTGATCGTGTCTGTGTGCTGCACACGCGTGATTGTGTCTGTGTGCTGCACCCGCGTGATCGTGTCTGTGTGCTGCACCACGTGATCGTGTCTGTGTGCTGCACCCGCGTGATTGTGTCTGTGTGCTGGTCAAGCGTGATCATGTCTGTGTGCTGCACCACGTGATCGTGTCTGTGTGCTGCACCACGTGATCGTGTCTGTGTGCTGCACCCGCGTGATTGTGTCTGTGCTGCACCCGCGTGATTGTGTCTGTGTGCTGCACCACGTGATCGTGTCTGTGTGCTGCACACGCGTGATTGTGTCTGTGTGCTGCACCCGCGTGATCGTGTCTGTGTGCTGCACCCGCGTGATCGTGTCTGTGTGCTGCACCACGTGATCGTGTCTGTGTGCTGCACCACGTGATCGTGTCTGTGTGCTGCACCCGCGTGATTGTGTCTGTGTGCTGGTCAAGCGTGATCATGTCTGTGTGCTGCACCACGTGATCGTGTCTGTGTGCTGCACCACGTGATCGTGTCTGTGTGCTGCACCCGCGTGATTGTGTCTGTGCTGCACCCGCGTGATTGTGTCTGTGTGCTGCACCACGTGATCGTGTCTGTGTGCTGCACACGCGTGATTGTGTCTGTGTGCTGCACCCGCGTGATCGTGTCTGTGTGCTGCACCACGTGATCGTGTCTGTGTGCTGCACCACGTGATCGTGTCTGTGTGCTGCACCCGCGAGATTGTGTCTGTGTGCTGCACCCGCGTGATCGTGTCTGTGCTGCACCCGCGTGATCGTGTCTGTGTGCTGTATCCGCGTGATTGTATCTGTGTACTGCATCCGCGTGATTGTATCTGTGCTGCACCTGTGTGATCGTCTTCACGCAAGCTGGATCCCTCTTCAGTACCTTCATCTTGTCCACGCTGAATCCAATCAGCTGGGTCAGGACCTGGGGGTCGGGAGGTCGGAGTGGGGGTCAAACCGTCACTGTGGTGGACATTGCTTCACTAAAGTAATAAATAATATCGGTATCCCACGATTCACAAACGTTCGGTTTACAAAATTTTGCGTTAAGGCAATTGAAAAATTATGGACGCTTTTCAATTCACATAATTTCCACGTTAGCTAAATGTTACTCCGGCACGGCTGTGAGATCATAATGAACTTCCAGAGCTAGGCCGCCACCACTTCTCCCGTGACCCCTTGGTGACCCCGGTGCGGTGCGCACGTGGTCGCTGAAGGTTGCTTCAGTGTAGGCCGTCCCATCCGTGATGCGCGCACGCACGCTCCACGCTCCACAGCGCGTCTGCAGGGGGCCCAGCAGCGTCACTACAAACCCCTAAGCGGGGTGGGGTCACAGGAGCACAGGGGGTAGAGGGGCATATACGGTTTAGAGGGGGTCACAGAAGGGTATAGGAAGGCACAGGGGGGTCATGGTGGCTACAGGGTGCCGTGAGCCCGGTTTAATCACATTTGGCTATGCGAGTCTATGGGACTATGTGAGTCTGGGTCTCTATGTGAGTGTGTCTCTATGCGAGTCTGGGTCTCTATGCGAGTGAGTCTCTATTCGAGCGAGTCTCTATGCGTGTCTATGGGGCTCCACCACGCACAGCACCCCCACTACGTGGATCACCCTCGGCGCAAGGGTAAGCTCCTCACCTTGACGGTGATCTGGATGCGGTGTGCCGGGTGACGGTTACTCAGCACCCTGCTTAGGTAGGTGAAGGGCGGAGAGTGCAGACCCACGCTGCTCTTGCTGCTGCTGCTATTGCCGATGCTGCTGATGCTACTGCTGGTAACTGTGGGGTTTGGGAGGGGGGGAATGGGAGGGTGGAGGCATAGATGGGGAGGGGGTTTGACAGCTTGAATTCATCATGGTCACGACGTCTCTTCTTCTGTGACATTCCCCAAGGTTGCTGGATCACACACACGTTGTGAACTCTCTTCCCATGGGCATTGATCCATACCCTGGCCTGCAAGAAGGCGGGATCGATGGTGGCGAGATGTTAACTACCTCACCTGGTATGCAGGAGGTCGTGAGTGCGATCACGACCCAGATGCCTGCCGTATCCATGATAGAGGTTTTTGGGTTAGATCGCGTAAATATATAAATGTGTCGTTCAAACCCGCCACCATCTGACACAACCAACTAGTAAGGGTTGTCACGTAAACAGAACATGCCAATTCGTCACGAGTACAGCACACCGGTGTGTTGGAGAGCCAAGCCACAATATTAACAATCTGAGTACGACGTTTCGCCAGTAATTACAACTAGCTTCATCAGGCGACAGCCAGATTTGTGGAGAAGTCCACCTGTTTCGTTTCTTATATAGAAGCGTAGATGTGGTGACCACACTTCTGCGCCTCTGCAAAATGTGGGGGGGGGATTACTGAGGCAACGTGCATTAAGCAGGCACACGACCATGCAGGCCCGTGTTTCGTGTGCTGTATATTTGGAGTTTGCGTGTCTCTCTCCCCGTGGTCGTGTGGAATTTTCTCCGGGTCTTCCAGTTTTTTCCGTCCACATTTAGAATCGACGTGCGTTTGGCTGCTATAAATGTCCACATGACAAGCCACTTCGTTGAGCTGTCATTTGTGGCCAGGTCGCGTCTGAAAAAAGAGCTATATAGCTCAGTGGGCCTTACCTGGTAAAATACAAAAGCCAGCTTAGTTTTAATAGTTTATTTTAAGGCGGTACTGCGGACAACTATCATCTGCCTCGTGCGATGGGAGAGAGTGTTGCCCCCTTGCTCTCATGCATGGGTTTTCTCCGGCTCCCCACCGTCCAGCTGCTGCCTTCGCACTCGTGTCTGTGGTTCCTAGGTACTCTACATAGCGCCGTCTCCAACTCGATCCTACTCTACGTCCTCTGATGAAGGGCTATTGCCCGAAACGTCACCCAGCAAATACAAATACTCTCTCTCTCTCTTGCTCAGGCAGCTCGGCGTTTTGAGTTTCATTCGCCCGGATCGGCCCGGACTGACGATGGAGCGCACCTTTTGGTGGGGGAGGTACTTCATCATCCTCAAAGTGCACCTAGCCTGGCACAGGCGCCGTGGTGATGTCACCGCCACTGAGTGGCGAATGGCGGCTGTTGGTATTGGGGGGAGGGGCACGCACCTGTGGGTGGGAGGCCGGGGCACGGCCTCTTGATGAGGGGCGCGAATCCGCAGCGCTCCGGAGCAGACACCCCCACGTCCTGGAATTAAATAAAAGGGGGCGGGGGAGGGTAGAGGAGCCGCTCGTTAGTGGCGGAGGCTGCGTGCGGCGTGCCCTGCGTCGCGTCCGCCTCACGACTCCACAGCCGCACTCTGCTCAGCCCGCAACGTCTCTACGATAGGCACCGTGACCCGTAGCTCAACCTGCCGTGTGGCTCGCCCTGCCGCGTGACTCGCCATGCCCGCGTGACTTGCCCTGCCCGCCTGACTCGCCCTCCCGTGCTGCGGAGCGACTTGCTCCACCGTGCCACGGCTTGGCGCCTGTTTCTCCCGCAGGGTTTTGCCGGCCGGCTCAGCGCTGAGAGACGCCGGCTCTGGCTCCAGTTCCGTGTCCCACTCATCCATGGCCCACTCGTGCCCCAACGCGGCAGTGGGGTCATCAGCAACGACCGGCTCCTGCTGCTGACGCTGCTGCTGACGCTGCTGCTGATACTGTTGCTGGTACTGCTGGTGATGCTGTTGACGCTGCTGCGGTGGTGGTGGTGGCTGCGGTGGTGGCTGCGGTGGTGGCTGCGGTGGTGGCGGCTGTGGCGGTGAATTTCCGGCCATTCCCTGCAGGTTCAGGTAGTTGTCATCGGGGAAGTCGTCCATGGGGAAGTCATCGGAGAAATCATCCGGGAAGTCGGCGTCGCTGGTGCCTGGCAGAGGGAGGGACACGACGCGGGGTGAGCGAGTTCCGAGTTTGCACACGGGAGTGGGGGGTCACGTCACCCCCTGCCCCCCCCCCCCCCCCCAACATCACCCAACGTGGTTCGGGCTGCATGGCGCAAAGAACCCGGCGACCCAAGTTCGATTCCCACTGGCAACCAATAACAGTGGTGAAAATCTGAACCCATCCTGGGCCTCTCCCGAGGTCGACTGTGCCTTAAACAAAACGGAACAAAACATCCGAGACAGAACAGAGAACAAGGTAGAACGAGACGGAACAGAACGAACTAGATGCAACGAGATGAAACATAACCACACATTGATTTCCGTATGGAATTCAGACCGGAACCCCAAGCGCATCAATGGGGGCGGCAGCGATGCTCGCGGCTGGTGTGGCTGACGAACCGTTCTGCGTGTGAACGTCTTGCTGGTGATGCTGCTGCTGCTGTTGCTGGTCCTGCTGCTGAGTTGGCGCCGACTCTGGCTCTCCGCTAAACCCACGAGACACGGACAGACACACAAGTGTGGGTGTGTGTGCACGTGCGTATGTGCGTGTGCGCGGGGGGGGGGGGGGAAGCGTTGGTGTAGCGGTTATCACGCCGCGCTACGAACCCGGCGACCCGAGTTTGATTCCTGCTCACGGCCAACACCAGTGACGTTTATCTGACCCGGTCCTGGGCCTCCCTTAGGTCGACTCAGCCTCAAATTAACATCTGGTGCGGTGTGTAAACATCGCCACTGCGGAGACAAAGGCAATCGGGCGTGGTGCTGGCCACCCACCCCTTTGTGTACCGTTCCGGCCTTCATAGGTGTTCGCTAACTTGCCCCTACAGTCTGCTAAGGCTATACGGGGGATCTTTGTCTTTGTGCGCGGGGAGTTGTGGCGCAGTGGTTAGTGCGCTACGGCACAATGAACCTGGCGACCAGAGTTCGATTCCGCCCCAGGTCGACTCAGCCTCAAATGAGTACCTGGTGCTACCTAGTGCGGTGTGTAAACATTGGTACTACGGGGATTCATATTCTTGGTTCTTTCGGTAAAGTCACGTATAAGGGAAACAATAAAATAATAAAAATATAAAACAATAAAATTAATCTTCTTGGTTCTTTCGGTAAAGTCACTCAAGCGCTGTCTTCTGGACAGACCTGTTTCTTCACCTGAAGAAGGCTACTTGTGTTGTGGCCGAAACGTCGTGATAATTTTATTTTATTGTTTTATTTGTATTATTTTATTTCCATTATACGTGACTTTACCGAAAGAACCAAGAAGATGAATCCTTGCAGTCACGAAAGCTTTAAATCGAAACAATATAATTCTCACGACGTTTCGACTGCAACAAATTTTCTTGTTGTGGTTTTCACACCTGATGATGATTGCTTGTGTTGCAGTCGAAACGTCGTGAGAATTGTATTGTTTTATATTTTTATTATTTTATTGTTTCCCTTCTACGTGACTTTACCGAAAGAACCAAGAATATTGGTACTACGGTGTAGTGCTGAAAACCCATGCCCTCGTGTGCCATGCCAGCCTTCATACGGGGGATCGTTGTGTGCGTGTGTCTACGTGTGCGTGCGTCTACGTGTGCGTGCGTCTACGTATGCATGTGTGTGCGCGTAACCGGAAGTGATTGACAGCCCTGCGATGAAAAACACCGTCACTGCCAATCATGGGTCGCAGAGACAGCCATAAACACGGGAACAGGGGAATGATGGTGTTAGGGTTGAGATTCAGGGTGAGGTAGGGGACAGGGTAGGGGATAGGGCAAGGGATAGGGAAGGGAATAGGGCAGGGGAGAGGTAAAATATGGGGTGAGGGTTGCTGTAGGAGTCGTGTGGCCCCGCACGGCCACTCTGGGCCGAGGCGGATGCACGGGGAGCTGGGGTTGCCACCGCGCTGCCCCTCCGGGCGAGGTCGTGCGAGGTCACATACGAGTCCACATGTGAAGCCATATGCGAGGTCACATGCAAGGTCGTAAGATGTCGTGCGGGAGGTCACGCGAGGCCACGCGAGGTCACGCTGACCCGGTGGGACGCACATGAGGCGCGCGAGGAGGCGTCGCGGCTCGTTCTCCTGCACCAGCGCCTCCACCTCCCCGCCCAGCAGAGAGATGTGCGCCGACTCCAGCAGCAGCACCCCGAGGCGGCACGGCACGCGGCCCGACACGAGCAGCTGGCGTGCACGCAACACGCGCCTCCGATTAGCACGGTTGGCTACGTACGGTGCGAAAGAAGTTCATCATACATACAAAAAGATCCATCGCGTAGCCTTTCAACAGACCGGAGGGGGCAAGTGCTTGTTAGCGAGTAGCGCCTATTGAGGCCGGCACGGCACACGAGGGGGTGGGTGGTCGGCCTGGCCGCCTCTGTCTCCCCAGTGGCGATGTTTACACATCGCAGCAGGTGCTCATTTGAGACTGGTTCAAATGTTCGGCAATGTATTTGTACATCAGCAGGAATCGAACTTGGGACGCCGTGTTCGTAGCACAGAGTGCAGACCGCTGCGCCACTGCTCCCCACACGCAGGGACGTCACCTCCCTTCCTACAAACACTTGGCAGGACCCTCCTGAAAAAGAGTCTTGAGACTCAGTGAGGCCTTCCTTGGTAGCAAACACGCCTCATGACGATAAATCGACAATCGGCCCGGTGCAGCTGCACCGCCTGCACGCGGGGAGAGGGCGGCCCCCACCTTGGTGCCGGGCGGGAGGAGCGGGTGGAGCGCTGGGATGGGGCGGTACTCCATCGCCTGGATCGCCTGCACCCCGTCCGTCAGCTGCAGCAGCAGCATCCTCCCGGCCTTCACCTCCCACGGCTGCGAAGACAAAAGTCAAAGACACCCTCTCCCGTGTAGCCTTAACAGACTGTCGGGGGCAAGCGCTGTTAGCGAGCAGCGCCTATGAAGGCTGGCACGGGACACGAGGGGGTGGGTGGGCGGCCAGCACCACGCCCGGCCGCTTTTGTCTCCTCAGTGCTGCTGTTTAACACAACATACCAGGTACTCATTTAAGTCTGATTGCCCTAGGGGAGGCCCAGGACCAGTTCAGATATTTACTGTCACTGTTATTGGCTGTGAACGGGAATCAAACTCGGGTCGCCGGGTTCGTAGCACAGTGCGCTAACCACTACACCACCGCTCCCCCGCATGCACGTGCACACACACGAAGATGCATACACACACAGAGCCTGTACATCAATCGCACACGACCCCCTCGTGTGCCGTGCCGCCCTTCATAGGTGCTACTTGCTAACAGCACTTGCCCCAACAGCCTGTGTGGGCTACACGGGGGACCTGTGTGTGTGTGTGTGTGGAGCGGCAGCTGCCCGGACCTGCTGTGGCCTGGGAACAGCTGTGACTTGCTCATTGCTCGTGTCTCGGCCCCGCAGCTTCTGTAGCTGCGCGTACATGGGCTGGCTCACGTCCACCAGAGAATCCATCTGTACAGCAGCAGCAGCATAAATGCGCGTGGCCACACACATGCACCTCCGATTAGCACAGTTGGCTACGCATGGTACGCATTACATGCGTAATGTAAAGACATCAACACACGCGTATGCACGCGCATACACCCGAACGCACGCACACACAAACATGTTCAATAGATGTGGTGGTAGTGGTGTGGTCAGTTGGTGGAGAAGTGGTATGGCTAAGACGTGGTGGGCTCGCTTTCTGTAACACTGGACCGGCGGCGTGTTGGTGGTGTTTACAGCACAGGCAGTCCCAGTGGGTTGGCGGTGTGTTTGTTGGTGGTGTGTCTCGTGTTGTGTCCAGTGGGTTGTTGGTGGTGTGTCTAATCTTGTGTCCTTTAGCGTGTTGGTGGTGTGGCCGGTACTGCCCTGTGGACCGCACCTGCAGGGCGTAGTGTCCACCCAGTGTGGTGGTGAGCACATCTCCCATGCCCACGGGCAGTACCGGCAGGGCCATGTCGCGCAGGTCAGTGAGCAGCCACTGCTCAAACACCTGCCGGTTAACTTCCGAGGGGGAGAGGGACCGGCCCTGCAACACCAAAGACAAAGATTCCCCATATAGCCTTACTGTTGGGGAAAGTGCTGTTAGCAAGCACCTATGAAGGCCGGCACGGTACGAGGGGTGGGTGGCCAGCACCACGCCCGGCCGCCTTTGTCTCCCGAGTGGTGATGATTTCTACGCACTGCACCAAGTACTCATTTGAGGCTGAGCCGACCCAAGGGAGGCCCAGGACCGGTTCAGATAATCGTCACTGGTGTTGGTCGTGAGCGAGAATAGAACTTGGGTCGCTGGGTTCGTAGTGCAACGGTACCACGGTGACAACAGCACCACAATAGCGACACCACAAAAACACCACAACCACAGGGACAGCACAGTGACCTCACAACCACAGCGACACCACAATGACCCCACAACCACAGCCACAGTGACACCACAACTACAGCAGTGACCCCACAGCCACAGCGACACCACAGTGACCCCACAACCACAGCGACACCACAGTGACCCAACAACCACAGCACAGTGACCCCACAACCACAGTGACACCACAACCACAGTGACACCACAACCACAGTGACACCACAACTACAGCGACACCACAACCACAGTGACCCCACAACCACAGTGACCCTACAACCACAGTGACACCACAACTACAGCGACACCACAACCACAGTGACCCCACAACCACAGTGACACCACAACCACAGTGACCCCACAACCAGTGACCCCACGACACCACAGTGGCCCCACAACCACGGTGACCCCACAACCACAGTGACACCACAACCACAGCACAGTGACACCACAACCACAGTGACCCCACAACCACAGTGACCCCACAACGACACCACAATGGCCCCACAACCACAGCACGATTACCACCACAGGGCAACTTGGTCATAGGCTGTGCTCTGTAATTCGTGTAGTCTGCGCTGGGTACTCTGTGGCTCAGGCTTACGATGAGACGCTGTCTAAAACCAGCCCAGCGTTGTTTTTGTAATTGTTTGGTTGTGTTTGGGTTGTTTGGTTGGGGCACCACTGCCAAAGCAGCAGCAGCACCACTTAATTCGATAAACTAAACTATTTGTTAATTTACCAGGTAAGGCCCACTGAGCTATATAGCTCGTCTTCAGAAGCGACCTGGCCACAAATGATAGTCCAACGGAGTGGCTTAGCATCATGTGGAGATGTATAGAAGCCAAATACTGTACTCTAAACGCGTTATGTTTATTCTAAATGTGGAGGGGAAAAAAACGGAGAACCCGGAGAAAAATTCCACATGACCAGGGAGAGAGAGAGACACACAAACTCCAACTATACAGCAGCAGCAGGCGTCAGGGTCAGGATCGAACCCACGACCTCCTGTATACCAGGCGAGGTTGTTAACATCTCCTAGTCATCGTGTGATGATGATGAGACACACAAACTCCAACTATACAGCAGCAGCAGGCGTCAGGATCGAACCCACGACCTCCTGTAGACCAGGTGAGGTTGTTAACATCTCCTAGTCATCGTGTGATGATGATGAGAGAGACACACACAAACTCCAAATGTACAGCAGCTGGCGTCAGGGTCGGGATCGAACCTACAACCTCCTGTAGACCAGGCGAGGTTGTTAACATCTCCTAGTCATCGTGTGATGATTATGAGAGAGACACACAAACTCCAAATATACAGCAGCAGGCGTCAGGATCGAACCCACGACCTTCTGTAGACCAGGCGAGGTTGTTAACATCTAGTCATCGTGTGATGATGATGATAGAGACACAAACTCCAAATATACAGCAGCAGCAGGCGTCAGGGTCAGGGTCCAACCCACGACCTCCTGTATACCAGGCGAGGTAGCTACTGCGTGGAGCGGTGGCGCAGTGGTTAGCACTGCTCATCGTTACAGTTTACATTCTAAAATTAGCAGTCTTCCTCCTGTATACCAGGTGAGGTAATTGACATCTCGCCACTGCGGCAACGTCGTGTTTGAATGTATCGGCTCCCCGCTATTTGCAGGGCACGGGGTTATCCGCACCCCCGTTGTTTGGGTGCTGCTGCTGTGTCTCGTCGCTGCGTCTCATCGTCTCTCACCGCGTTATCCTGCGCCAGCCAGTCCAGGCAGGCGGCCAGCCACTCTCCCGGCACCTTCACGTGCCACGTGGAGGCAAGCCACTGTCTCACCCGCTCCGCGGACATGGTCATCGCCCGGTCTCACTCACCGCTCCGGGCCTCCCTCACAACCCTCCACACCGGGCCTCTCTCACCACCACCACCCCGGGCCTCCCTCACCACCACCACCCCAGGTCTGCCTCACCACCACCACCTCAGGTCTGCCTCACCACCACCCCGGGCCTCCCTCACCACCACCACCTCAGGTATGCTTCACCACCAACCAGGGGCCTCCCTCACCACCACCTCAGGTCTGCCTCACCACCACCCAGGGGCCTCCCTCACCACCCCCGGGGCCTCCCCAACGCAGCTCAGGACGGGGCGGTGAGAAGCGCGGAGAGCTGACAGTCCGGCTACACGGCTTTAAAATTCATCATCAATCTTCCTCCACTCCACCTCCTCATCTGCCGGCCATTTTCCCGCCCTCAGTTGGAGACGAGACCCTCGTGAGGAGTTGGGGGGAGGGCTGCCAGCGTTCTGTTCGCTGATTGGGCCGCGCGGTGCCCACGGACACGAGGCCTCGCGCTGTGATTGGCTGCGAGGGCATTTTTTTTCGCGGGAGATGCTGCAAGTGGCGGGAAGTGAGCAGCACTTCCGGGTCTCGTCTCGCTTCAAATCATCATCGCCGGAGGAGTAGCAGCAGCAGCGACTACGGCAACCACCATCATCATCATCAGCTGCTGTAAGGACTAGGATATCATCATCAGCAGCAGCAGCAATAACGATCCCAACGTCCTCGGCACGGAAGAAAGTCGCAGCAGAAACGGTCAGAACTTTTAAAGTATTTTGTCAATGTTTACGAAGCATCACACCCGAGGGGTGTGATGTTGTTGTTGTTGGTTCTGCATCGTGCGTGTCCGTCCCTTTGTGTGTCCGTGTCGTCGCGTCCGCTTCTATCTCTCAGAATCAGAATATTTATTTATCCTGGAGAAATACGATGAGCTGTGAAGCTCTTTTTCACAGATGTTCAGTATGGATCCGACCGTTACAACAACAAGCTCCCTCATGTGACTGTCCCTGTGTCTTTGTGTAATCTATGGTTGTACTATTGTATGGTTGTACTATTGTGGGTGGTAGCGGTGGTGCAGTGTTATGTCACTGTTGAACATATTTCGCACCGTACATAGCCAATCGTGATAATCGTTGGTGTGTGGAGGGGGGGGAAGGACCACAAACTAAACACAAAGCCGTTCTAAAGAGTTTTCAGTGGTTAACCACGCGGCCAACATCAGTAGCGAGTGATATCTGAGCAGGTCCTGGGCCTCCCGTAGGTTTACTCGGCGGCTTGGCTGGGCGTGGTGTTGGCCACCCAACCCCCTCGTGTACGCTCCCAACCTGCATCGGTGCTAACAGCCCTTGAACCAAAACAGCAGCCTGTTAAAGTCTATCCGGGGGATATTTGTACTCGACCGTGTTGTCATCACCCGTGTTGGTCTTTGCCTGGCCTGTGTCCGTCTGTGAGCTCACGAGTTCACGATCTCTCTCTCTCTCCCTATGCATCGTTCTCCGGCCCAACTCTCAAGCAATCCGTCCGGTGCAAGGCCGTACAACACAACCCCAGTGTTGCCATCTCCTATCATCATACTTAATTATGTTATCGGAATTTCTAGTGTAGTCATTGAATGTTGTTAATGTCCGCTTTCACTTGCGAGTGTAGTTAATTTTTTTAATGCACGGCGCTTTGAGATACTTTAAAATTACAGGCGCTCTCTAATACATTTATTAGTCTGCACGACGCAAATAACGTAGTGCTGTTCTGTGTAATTAAATGGGTTTGCGGCAAACGAGGACCCATACCTAACGGAGAGGGTCCCTGGCCATTCTATTCTTGCGTGTGATGGCACCAGCAATGCTGTTCAGGAGCTCGATACCAATGACTGTTCAATTACTGCTTCTGGCCATCACGAAAGGGCTTCAGCAGAGAGCGAGTTCGCGTCGCTGTTGTTGAAAGAGCGCAGACCACCGTGGGTTCACTGCGGTCCGTAGTCTTGGTTGCATGGCCACAGTCGAACTCCTGTTGCTTGTCTTTAACGTATCTCAGTGGGTCTCTATGTATCTCTACGAGCCTGTCTCTCAGGTCCGTAGTCTTGGTTGCATGAGCACAGCCACATTTCTGGGGCTAGTGTCTTTAATTCATCTGTATGGTTCTCTATTTGTTTATGGGCTCATCACGTGTTCCATTATTTGGGTTGCGTGGCCACAATCGCACTACCGTGGCTTGTGGTTTTAATTTTCAATTTAATTTCCCTTGCCTCCTAAACATCTGGAAGGTCAACCGTATTTGTCCAGGTCAAGATTGATTGTGCTGATGAGACGCTGAATGTAAAAAAAAGAAACTGTTTTGCATGTGTTGAACCAGCACTGGTGAAATCTGTCAGAAGGCCGTGTGGCTGATGGGATGAATAAAAAAATAATTTTACGTTGATCATAGCGTGGTCGTAACACCATCTTACTCGGAGTAAGAAGTGCCTGGGTTCGATTCCCGACGACTCCATCAATCGGCTCTGTCGAGTAGCAGAGGATGCACGACACATTTTATTAACGCGGTCCGATCCACTAATCTGTTACGAATCGTCGTCCCGTGCAGCAGGAAACGAGGGGGGAGGTGGTGTGACGCGTCCACTTTTGTGTTTGTTTTACAGGTACCCAAACCCAGCTCTGCGCTACCCCCGTGACCAGTCCCTCAACCCCCTTGTGCGACATCGATGGCCACGCCACGCGAGCGCGCCATCGCGCGCAACAGCCTCGTGTCGCTGCTGCAGGCGGTGCTGCACGGGGCGCACGCCGCCGTGGAGCTGCGCGACGAGACGCAGGTGCGCGGCCTCGTGCTCAACGTCGACGCCTTCATGAACGTGCGGCTGGCCGACGCCGAGCTCAAGGAGCGGCGCTCGGGCCGCGTGACGCGGCACGCGCAGGTGCTCGTGAGCGGCCGCAGCGTGCGCTACGTGCTGCTGCCCGACCGCGCCGACCCCGTCGCGGCGCTGGCCGCCCAGCTGCGGCGCGACGATGACGCCGCCGCGAGGGCCAGGGCGCCGCGAGCCGGGCGCACGGAGTTCGCGAGGAAGTAGCCGAGGGGCCGCGCGGCGCCCGCGTGTTGTGCGTCTCTCTCCACCTCCCCCCCCCCCCCCCCCCCGTTGCCGATGCTGTTTACGCACCGCATTTGGCTGTGGCCCAGTGCGAACCGCTGCGCCACCGCTTTTCCACTACCTAACTGCGTGCAGCCTCGCAACCACGCACAGCCACACACAACTATGCGCAGCCACACAAAACCACACGCAGAACCATTCGCAGCCACACGCAGAACCTTGCGCAGCTATGCACAACTATGCGCAGCCACACAGAACCACACGCAGCCACACGCAGAACCACGTGCAACCACACACAGAACCACACGCAGCCATGTACAACCACACGAGCGTGTGAGCAATGCTCGTGAACGGAGTCCTGTTGCCGTGACGATACGAAGTACGAAGATTCGCGAGTTTTAACCAAGCTGAATGTGTTTTTACCCCACTGCTCTTGTATAGTTTCTCCGTGCTCTGCTGTACTGATGAATAAAGGTTGCTTGAACGTTGTTTACAATCATGGACACTGGCATACGTGGACTCGCACACAAAGATCCCACCCCCCCCCCCCCATAGCCTCTAACGAGCTGTTGGTGCAAGTGCTGTTAGTGAGCACGCACCTATGAATGCCGGCACGGCACACGAGGGGGATGGGTGGTCAACACCACGCACGGCTGCCTGGCTGCTCATTGCTGATGCGTCGTTCACACGGCAGCAGCCAATTGACAGCCATGGGCGTTCACCACCGAGCGGCGGTGACATCACCACGGTGCTTGTGCCAGGATAGGTGCACCTTGAAGCCAAGTGAGGTATGGAAGACTCGCTACTGGCGGGAGGTCAGGGGACAGACCCGATTGCCATGGGTTTACTGAGATGACTGACAGATGCATCACCGGTGCCCCCCCCCCCCTACTGTGCCAACTTGCTGCAATTTAGCCACCCAGCGCTCCGCTCGTTGTGAGCGTCGCTCCTCTGCCCTTCGTTGTTGTTGGAGGGCGACTGCCTTTAACTGCCCAGTAGCAGCGTCCTTCACGAGCCTCCTCCACAGAGGCCGATCTTGACACCGCTGGTACCGATCACCGGCAAGTTCACTCAGCTCCACATCCTGTACCACGTCACTCCAGAGCCCTTGGCCGTGCCCGTTTAGCCCCTGCTGCGTGGTTAGATGGAAGCTGCGCACACACGCACATACAACAACAACCACCATTCGCCACGAAGTGGCGGTGACGTCACCACGACGCTTGTGCCAGGCCATGTGCACCTTGAGGCCACGTGAAGTGTCGAACGCCCGCTGGCAGGAGGTCACGGGGCATACCCAAGTGCCACGGGTCGACTGACTAAGATGACTGAGATGACTGGCTAATGCACCACCTGTGCCCCCTACTGTGCCAACCTGCTGTGCTTTAGCCACCCGGCGCTCCGCTCGTTGTTGTGAGCGTCGCTCCTCCGCCCTCCGTTGTTGGAGGGTGACTGCCTCCAAATGCCCAGTAGCATCTTTCACGAGCCTCCTCCACAGAGGCCGATCTTGACACCGCTGGTACCAGTCATCGGTAAGTCCACTCAGCTCCACGTCCTCCTGTACCACATCACTCCATCTCTTCTCTAGCCCGTGCCGCGCCCGTTTAGCCCCCTCGATCCGGCCGAACAAAAGCTGTTTTGGCATGCGGTGGCTGGGCATGCGGGCTACATGACCCAGCCAACGCAGCCTTGCCTGCCAGAGGAGCTCACCGATGGGACCTTGCCCAGATCTTTCAAGGATTTGTGAGCGCCTCACAATCCAGCCTGGTTAAACCCAGGATGGATCGTAGGCAGGCTAGCCTAAATGTTTCTCACCGGCGAAGATGTTCCATTAGGGGGGTCCACGTTTCGCAAGCGTAGAGAAGGGAGGGAATGACCGTGGCCGAGAAGACCTGAAGCTTAGTGCGGAGCGACAGACCAGGTAGCTTCCACATAGCGTTACGCAACCGATGAAAATATATTGCCGCTCGACTGATTCGGAGTGAGACCTCCGCTGTTAAACTGGAGCCGGTCATTAGCACACTGCCCAGGTGTGGGAAACTCTCCACTCTCTCCACAACTGCCCCATCACCGATTGGGAGTTGTGGGGGTGGAGTGTCCGATGGTACAAAATACCGAGGCAGGTGCTTAGTTTTGGTGGGGCTGATGGTAAGGCCCCATCTCTTAGTGGCACGCTCCAGTCTCAGCAGCAGCGTCTCCACTCCTCTGAATGAGCAGCTATTACCAAATCATCGGCATACATAACGTGGTTGAGCAATAGGGAGCCATCCCTTGACCGCACCCGGGCATCGATCAGCCTCCCATTATATCTGTACCAAATAAGATTCCCCCGGTACAGCTATTGAAGGCTTCACTAATTACGTGGTCAAAATAGATGTTAAATAATGTGGGAGCCAGAGCAAGCCTCTCCTCAGCGTGCCTGGCAAGGCGATGTTGAATAATCCTTGCCAGGACCTTTCCCCGGCACACTGAGGAGTGAGATGCCCTGTAGTTGTTACATTCTGTGCGGTCTCCCTTCTTAAAGAGGGGGACCACCAGGGCATCCTTCCAATCCTGCGGAACCCGTCGAGTGGTCCAGACTGTTGTTATGATGTCATATAGGGCAGTCTGTGCACAAACGCCACCCTCCCTCAGCATTTTTCTTGGGAGATCATCTCTGCCCGCTGCCTTTCCTGGTCTCAGACTCCGGATCGCCTTCAGTACTTCCTCAACAGATGGCACCTCAGCCAGCCACTCATAGGGGGTGACTTCTTCCAATATTTGAGGCACCGCAGCCTCAGCAGGGTCATCCCCACTTTGTGTCACGATGTTTTCCTGGCTGAGGGATTTTCCCTCTCCCAGGACCTCACAGAAATGCTCAGCAAATCTGCAAACCTGTTCCTGGGGGTCAGAGATTGGATCACCGTTTTTTCCCCTAATGATGGTAATAGATGTGGCGCTGCAGGTTACTTTTTTGATGGAGTTAAATAGAGATTTGTGATCGCGGGCCACTGAGGCAGACTCCATCTCCTCAGCAACCCGCGACCACCACCCATCCTTGCAGCGCCTCACGGCTCTCCGAACCTCCGAGCGAAGGCTGCGGTAAGCCTCCTCATTTTCTGACGTGGGATTCTGTAGCTGATGACAGTGGGCCTGTCGCTTTTTCTCAACTATCCTGAACACCTCCTCTATCAGCCAGGGTTTCTGGGGAGGTCTGGACCGCGTACCCAAAGCAGCCAATGCAGCTGCATGAGTGACAGTCCTAAACCTCGCCCATTTACCCTCGACATCAGGAGTGGGGGACGATGCCAACCCCAACCGCAAGCGATGATGAAATTCTCGCTTGCAACTTTCATCAGATAACTGAGACCAGGCCACTTTAGGTTGGAATGGGGTCCTGGGTGTACACCCACCACCGGAGTTGAAGAATGGCAGGCAAATCTTACAGATGACAAGTCGATGGTCAGAGGGCAGATCAGCTCCACGGTAGGTCCTGGTGTCAAGGACATGGGCTTGCATCCGCTGGTCCGTCACTATGTAGTCCAGCAGATGTTCTTGCTTGGACCCGGCATGCATCCATGATGTTGTGTGGATGCACCGATGCCGGAACAGCGTGTTGGTAATTACAAGCCCATGGGCTGCACAAAAATCTAGCAGCCTCCTACCGTTGTTATTGAGCCGATCTGGCCTATGCCCACAAATCACTCCAGACCAGGTGCCAGCATCATGACCAACTCGGGCATTGAAGTCACCCAACAAAATGACTCTATCCCGAGGGGCCACTTTCGCCAGCACCTGTGACAGGAGGTCATAGAAGGCATATGACTCATCGGCTTTGCCTGCATCCCTCCACGGATGTTCGTCTTCGGTGGGGGCATAAGTAACCACGACCACCACTCCTCGCCTCCGGTTGATGGGAAGGTGAGCCCAAAGTAGCCTGGGGCTTACAGCTTCCCACACCTCACCGCCACGGTCCCACACCCCCTTCATTCTTTTGTTCAAAAGAAGAGCCACACCCTAGTTGTTTAGCAGTCTGCTGACCTCGAGTAGAGGACTGTCCACCCCTCGTGGTGGCAGGAGCCAGAACCGGTCAGTGCTGTGGGGGGAGGGCCAACTCCGATTGGCTCCTCCCCTCATGGCGTCTGTGACCACCACAGGGGCTAAACGGGGGCTCTGGACGTCTAAAATATCGCACGCACATACACACACGCACATACACGCGCGCACACACGCGCGCACACACACGTACATACACACACGCACATACACTCACGCACACACACGCACATACACACACACGCACATACACACACACACGTACACACACACGCACATACACTTACACGCAAACACACACGCACATACACGCGCACACACGCGCGCACACGCACGTACACACACACGCACACACACACGCACATACACACACACGCACACACATACACACACGTACATACACACACGCACATACACACACACAGCAGAGTGTCTCGGTTTCTCAAACACTGCCATGGCAACCGGAGTGAGAGAGTCTCGCAGCTCGCTTCTCCCACCCCTGTGCCGGAGAAGGGAGACTGGAACTCTGCATCGCCTCGTACGTACGTTACGTGCGTACGTGTGGGTACACGCGTGTGTCTGTGTGTACACCTGTGTGTGTACACGTATGCGTGTACGTGTGTGTGTACACCTGTGTGTACACGTGTGTATGTGTACACGCGTGTGTCTGTGTACACGCGTGTGTCTGTGTGTACACGCGTGTGTCTGTGTGTACACGCATGTCTGTGTGTGTGTACACGTGTGTGTTTATGTGTACACGTGTGTGTGTGTACACGCGTGTGTCTGTGTGTACACGCGTGTGTCTGTGTGTACACGCGTGTGTCTGTGTGTACACGTGCGTGTGTGTGTACACGTGCGTGTGTGTGTGTACACGCGCGTGTGTGTGTGTACACGCGCGTGTGTGTGTGTACACGCGTGTGTCGGTAGCGGTTAGCGCACTGCGAACACGGCCGAACCGAGTTCGATTCCCGACCATGACCAGTGACGATTATCTGAACGGGACCTCGGCCTCCCCTAGGTCGACTCAGCCTCAAATGAGTACCTGGTGCGGTGTTTAAACATCGCCACTGGGGAGACAAAGGCGGTCGGGCGTGGTGCTGGTCACCCACCCCCTCGTGTACCGTACCGGCCTTCATAGGTGCTACTGGCTAACAGCACTTGCCCCCACAGCCTGTTTAGGCTATAGGGGGGACCTTTGTCCCTACTTTAGATGTGTCGGCGAGCTGTGGCGCAGTGGTTAGCGCGCTTCGCTGGGCTAAAGCGGAGTTCGATTCCCAGCCACGGGTACTGGCCCTCCCCTAGGTCGACTCAGCCTTTAAATGAGTACCTTGCGCGGCGTTGTGAAAATAAAAGCGGCTGGGCCCTGGCCCTAGCCACACCGCTGTTCCAGTCTTCATGGGTGCCCGCTAACAGCACTTGCCACCCCCCAAACAGCCTGTGTGTGTACTACACGGGGGATCTTGCGTGTGTGTGAGATGGTGCGGGTGACATCAGCGCTTGTGCCAGGCTAGGTGTGCACTTTGAAGTGTCGAAGACTCGCTGGCACAGGAAGAGACCCAGGTGCCATGGGTTGACTTGTTGACTGGGCCAGTGCATCACCTGTGGCCCCGACTGGGCCAACGATTTGGGGAGACAATATCAAATTGCGATTTTTCTGACAGATATTGCGATTGCGATTGCATTTTTAAAGTCAAGCTTCAGTTCACTATTGGCTGTGTAATAGATTTAAAACACGTGATGGAGCATTACCACGTGGTACCATCAAAATATGAACTGTTCTATCAATTATAATGCAAGGATGAGGACTTGAAAGATATGAATTGCTTCCAACATGGATTTATTAAAATGCTTTAATTGAAATAGAACAATCAAACATAGAACAATTGTTAAGTTAAATAAATAAAGTTATTATAAAAAATATAAAACGATTCCAATAAAGAAAGTAATATGATTTTTTTTAAATCGCAAAAAAATCGCGGCCTTTGCGATTTGCTAATCGCATTGTTTCAAACTGAAATTAATCGATTTGAAATCGATTAATCGTCCAGCCCTAGTTTTGGACGCCCGTCGCTCTCTGCTCGTTGCGAGCGGCGCTCCTCCGCCCTCCGTCAGTGCTGGAGGGCGACTGCGACAAAATTGCCGACTAGCCTCAACGTGCACCTAGCCTGGCACAAGCCCCGTGGCGTCGTCACCGCTGTACCCCCACCCCTCCCCCTAGAAGTGACTGCCCCCCCTCCACCAAAACCACCAGAGACCTCGCTGCGTCATGGCACAGGGGCACGGGGACTCGGGGAGACCTGTCCTCCACGCGTGGCGACCCGGGTTTGGAGTCAAACCGGTGGCGCGCAGCTCGGCGGGAGGCGGCGCTGCGAGGTTGGGTGAGACCGCGTCGCCGTGGCTGTCGGCACGCTCCGTCAGCCTCCTGCAGGTGAGTGGAGGGGGGCTCCACGACACACAAAGGTAAAGCTGCCCCCCACCCCCCATAGCCCACACAGGCTGTTGGGGCAAGTGACGTTAGCGAGTAGCAGCTTTGAAGGCCGGCACGGCGCGCGAATGGTGGTGGCTTGCCAGTACCACGCCCGGTCGCCTTTGTCTCCCCAATGCCGATGTTGACTACACAAGGGCGGTTCGAGGTACAGTATTCGTGACCGATGTTGGCTGTGGCCGGGAATCGGAACTCGGGTTGTTGGGTTCGTCGGGCGGTGCGCTAACCACTGTGCCACCGCTCCTTCCTCGCCACACAATCTCACAGGACAGGTCCCGAAGAGAAACTCAACTTTTAGACTCAAGTTGAGTTTGCAAGTGGGCCGCGTTTACGAGAGTTTGCGATGCCCGCCCCAGAGAGAGAGAGAGACGGAGCTGATTGATGATCATCGCTGTCATCACTAGTGCATGACGATGTGGTGATGATGACCCGAGATGTGATGATGATGGTGCGCTGATGTGATGATGGTGATGGTGCGCTGATGTGATGATGGTGCGCTGATGTGATGATGCTGCACGCTGTGATGATGGTGCGCACTGTGATGATGGTGATGGTGCGCGCTGGGATGATGTGATGATGGTGCGCTGATGTGATGATGGTGATGGTGCACGCTGTGATGATGGTGATGGTGCACGCTGTGATGATGGTGATGGTGCGGACTGTGATGATGGTGATGGTGCGCACTGTGATGATGGTGATGGTGCGCGCTGTGATGATGTGATAATGGTGCGCTGATGTGATGATGGTGCGCTGATGTGATGATGTGATGATGGTGCGCTGATGTTATGATGGTGCGCGCTGTAATGATGGTGATGTTGCGCTGATGTGATAATGGTGCGCGCTGTGATGATGTGATGATGATGTGCGCTGTGATGATGTGATGATGGTGTGCGCTGTGATGATGTGATGATGTGTGCTGTGATGATGTGTGCTGTGATGATGTGATGATGTGTGCTGTGATGATGTGATGATGTGTGCTGTGATGATGTGATGATGTGATGATGTGCGCTGTGATGATGTAATGATGTGATGATGTGTGTGATGTGATGATGTGCGCTGTGATGATGTGATGATGGTGCACGCTGTGATGATGTGATGTGATGATGTGATGATGGTGATGATGGTGATGATGTGTGCTGTGATGATGTGATGATGGTGATGATGTGTGCTGTGATGATGTGATGATGGTGATGATGGTGATGATGTGTGCTGTGATGATGTGATGATGGTGATGATGTGTGCTGTGATGATGTGATGATGGTGATGATGGTGATGATGTGCTGTGATGATGTGATGATGGTGATGATGTGATGATGGTGATGATGTGTGCTGTGATGATGTGATGATGTGCTGTGATGATGTGATGATGGTGATGATGTGATGATGGTGTGCGCTGTGATGATGTGATGGTGTGCGCTGTGATGATGACCCGTGATATGATGATGATGATGGTGCGCTGATGTGATGATGGTGCGCACTGTGATAATGGTGACGCTGCGCTGATGTGATGATGGTGCGCGCTGTGATGATGTGATGATGTGATGGTGTGCGCTGTGATGATGTGATAATGTGTGCTGTGATGATGTGTGCTGTGATGATGTGATGATGTGTACTGTGATGATGTGTGTGCTGTGATGATGGTGATGATGTGCGCTGTGATGATGTGATGATGGTGATGATGTGACGATGGTGATGATGTGTGCTGTGATGATGTGTGCTGTGATGATGTGATGATGTGTGCTGTGATGATGTGATGATGTGTGCGTGTATGCAGGAGCGAGCGAGCGTGGACACGAGACGGAGCAGAGCCACCACTCAGCCCTTGCTGGATTCGGAGGAGGAATTCGCGCGTGTACGAGCGACACAAAGACAAAGATCCCCCGTATAAGCCTTAACGTGCTGTTGGGGCAAGAGCCTTTAAAAGCCATCTCTTTGTTTTTTGACCAAACTATTTGGAGAGCCGCGTCACACGCACAGCCACGTGTACACACAGACACACGCACAGCCACGTGTACACACAGACACATGCACAGCCACGTGTACACACAGACACACGCACAGCCACGTGTACACATAGACACACGCACAGCCACGTGTACACAGACACACGCACAGCCACGTGTACACACAGACACACGCACAGCCACGTGTACACACAGACACACGCACAGCCACGTGTACACACAGACACCGCAGCGGGTGTCTGGCAGCACGCATTCTGACTTGAAATGTGAGGATGGACTAAACTAAGTCCATTTAGTTCCACTTCCCCCCCCCCCTCCCCTAAGTTATTATTTAACACTACAGTTTGTTGTACATTCTGTCGTCACCAAGACATTCCATAGTGACACATTCTCTGCTATATTGAAATCAATTATCTTTACGTTAAATTAAGTTTCAGATTTAAGTAACAAACACGCACCACACACAAAAAAAACAAACGTCTGCCCGCAACAGGGAACCCAAAGAGCCCTGCCCCCCCCCCCCCATATTACCGACTCCTGATCGATTGGTTCCCGTAGCAACTGGATGCCGCTACGCTCACCTCATTACCCCAACCCCCCCCCAACCCTTGCAGCAGGTGCGCGCTTACCTGGCGCACGAGGAGGTGATGCGAGTGCGGCGCGCGGAGCTGAGCTTGGCGCGCTGGGAGGAGCGCGCGCAGCGGGAGATGAGCGCGGGGCCCGGAGCTCAGCGGGAGCCCGGGCCGAGGCTGAGCGCGCAGCGGGAGCTGCACGCGCGCTACTTGGCGCACGTGGGCGAGAAGGTGCGCGGGAGGAGGCATGCCGCGCTCGACATTCACGCTGCGTGTTACCGATATGACACAGATCTCCCGTTGTAGCCTCAACAGACTGCTGGGGGCAAGTGCTGTCAGCGAGCACCTGCGCCTGTGCTTTACACCCAGACCGGCATTCGGGGTCAGAACATTTCTAAGACTAACGCCGGAATGGCAGCCAAAGGAGCGGAGCACGCCGAGCGGAGACGGAGCGACGAAACCGGCTCGTACGGAGGGGATCGATGGATGCCTACTTCGCAGGGCCGTGAGAGAGATAGCGATGGCTGAGAGGAAGGGGGACTTTATCCAGCAGTAGATCGATCATGGCTGACGATGTAAATCTTTGTTGGTGCGGTCAGGGCTTCGTGTTCCTGGACTCGTTTGACCCCTGGGAGTACGACCCCTTTGCTCTGTCTCCGCGGGGACGGGCCCTGAAACAGGTAGGGGCCACACAGGACATGCGAGCTGGGTGGGTGGGTGCACAGACAGGTGAGTCTGTGGTTCGTTATGAAGAGCGGTGGCTGAGTTGGTGAATGAGTAGGAAGGTGAGTAAATGAGTACGTGGGTGGGTGAGTAGACGAGTGAGTGGATGGGTGAGCGATGTGCTAAGCGGGTTTGGCGAGTTGGTGAATGAGCGTCAGAGTTGGTGAGCGAGTGAGTGAGTGGGCGAGTTCGTGAGTTGGTGAGTGAGTTTTCAGTTTCATTTATTAGGTATAACCCTGTGAGCCATGCGGCTCTTGACTCGGGTGCAACCGCAACAAACAAAAACATGAACAAGTGACAACACGCAACAGAAAAATCCAGGAAAAAACAGCAAAGTCTTCCAGATAAAATACCGCATTTCAACGCTGTGTGCAAAAATCCCAGTGGGATGCAAGTCAAACAATAACAACCATAAGACAATGTAGATTAAAGTTATCAGGCTAACTTTGTACTACAACAAACAAACATGGCTAAACCAAAACGTTTTCAAAATCACCAAAACAAAGCTATAAAAACAATGTAACAGTGATCATAGGGACTGTGATTCAAATTTAACAATAAACGATATACTTAACATGTACGACCAAACTTTGCAGCCATAGCTGGCTGCATGAGTCACTCCATAATAGCAGGAGTATCAGTAGGAGTATCAAACATTTTCAATACACCTTTAAAGATCAGCACACTATAATCAAAACTCAAGATCATACTTTGCAGCGGTCATCCGGAACGATACATTTGATTTCAGGCCATTCTGAATAGCAGTGGCAGCTAGGGGTGTACAACTCCTCTAGAGCAGTTTTGAGTGAAGATCTCACAGGTAGTGATCCAAGTTGCAGTTTATTGGCGATAGCATTCCAGACCCTGGGGGCATCAATAGAAAAGGCCCTTGTACGGCAATAAGGAATGTGAAGTTGGTAAATGAGCGAAGACCTTAGGTCACATTTGTTCTTCGAAACAGTGAGGAGGTCCCAGATAGTCTGCTGATTTTCTTGTAAGTACATCGTGAAACAAATAAGATCTGATGCACAAGCCGTCGAACATTAAGAGATGTTAAGTTTGACATGATGTAGAGATCGCAGTTCAATGCAAATCTTTAGGCCGAGTGATAAATTGAGTCAAGCTTCTTCAGTATAGTGCTGGGGGCTGATTTATATACGATGTCACAGTAATTAGTAGAGGCAGTATGGTAGCTTTTATCAATTCCAAGCGGAACATAGGGGGGAAGCAGTGCTTGTGTCGATACAGAAAACCAATTTAAAATTTTATCTTTTTACCAATATAATCAATGTGATCTTGAAAATTAAGTTTTGAATCAAAGATGACCCCAAGATACTTATAGATCTTGACTTGCTCTATTTGATAATTATTTAAGGAATATAATTGGGGAAAATATCTTCCTGCTTATGTCCTTGTGAGAAGCATAGCACCTTGGTTTTGGAGGTATTCAGGACTAGTTTAAGAGCAACTAGCTGATGTTGTAGTTTGTCGAAATCACCCTGGAGCTTAGCAATCATGTCATCCGGAGAGCGGCCAGCAGTAATCAGTATCGTGTGATCTGCAAACAGATTTACCATGGAATGATCCGGGTCAGTGCCCAAGTCATTGACATAAAGAGAGAACAAGAGGGGGCCGAGGATGGAACCCTGGGGAACCCTGTGGAACCCCTTTTGTTATCTTGACACTGTTTGACCTCCAACCATCTGTGACTACAGTTTGGGTGCGAGAAGAGAGGTACTTTTTTAACCATTCTACTGCATGTCTGGAGAAACGGAGGCAACTTAGTTTACTCAGCAGGGTGTTGTGGTCCACTGTATCAAAGGCTTTAGACAAGTCAAGAAAAAGACCGGCACAGTACTGCTTATTATCAAGGCTAATGTAATTGTGATTCAGAGAGTCTAATGTAGCAGATGTGGTGCTGTATTTTTTTTGGAACCCAGATTGTTTTAGATGTAGTAGATTGTTGGTGGACAGGAAACTGCTAATTTGGTAGTTCAATATTTTTCAAAAATTTTCATCAACGGGGACAAAATTGAGATAGGTCGGTAGTTATTTGGATCATTTTTAGGGCCCCCTTTGTGAGGTGGACGAACATAGGAATGTTTCCATTCTAGAGGTACTGATGCTCCTTTGATGGACAGGTTGAAAATATGGGCTATAGGTTTGTATATTAGGTGACCAACAGTTAGCAGAGCAAAGACGGGAAAACTATCTGCTCCGGTAGAGGAGGACCCTTTGAGGTAAGACAGTTGTTTCAGAACATTACTTTCGTGGATTGGTTGGAAACTAAATTCGTTTAATGTTTGGACAGGGGTGTAGGAATTTGCATGAGCAGGGGTGACTCCCAATACATTATCAAAAAGGTCACCAGCTTAAAAAAATGTAGGTTAAAATTGTCGACTATTTTTTGGGGCTCTGAAAAATAGTCCCCATTTCGGTTAAGCGCAGTGGGCAGATGATCTGTGTTGTAGATGCCTTTTCGATACATTTGATTGTTTTCCAGAAGATCCTGGCATTGCCATGTGATTCCAGGAGAGTTGAAGAAAAATAAGCATTTTTTGCATGCCGTATTTTTTTGACGCATCTATTCCTTAAAATCTTGTATTCTAGCCAGTCATTGACCAAATTACTTTTCTGAGCACATGCCCCAGCCTTGTCCCTAGTTTTCATGAGCTTAGTAATCAAAGGATCAAACCATGGTGGGCGGTTGCCTTTAGTTTTAAATCTAACCAACGGAGCATGTTTGTTAAGAATTTGGAGAAACGTGTACCTGAAGGTCTCCCAAGCCATAGTCAGGTTGAGGATATCACAGACCTTGTCAATATCCGAGTGAAGCACATCATTAGTAAATGCCTGTATGCTGAAGTGTCTCATGCAGTGCTTATCAACCAATTTAGGGGGGGGGGGGGCTTTGGGTGTGGCTGATGATCTCACTCCAAATATGAAGGAGTGATCACTAAGGTTATTACCCAGAACATCAGTAAGTGTGAAATTCACACTTACTCACATAGAGTGGGTGAGTTGCTGAGTGAGTGGACGAGTAGGTGAATTAGTGGGCCAGTTGGTGAGTGAGTGGGCGAGTTCATGAGTGAGTCTATTGGTAGGTGAGTGCGTGGGCGAGCGAGTGAATGAGAGTGGACGAGTAGGCGAGAGGGCGGGTGGGTGAGTGAGTTGGTGAGCTGGGTGAGTTTGCTCACCGCGCGTTCCCGTGTCTGCGCTGCAGAGATTTACAAGCGCGTGCCCGAGGCTGGGCCACGCGAGGCGCGGGGCCACGTGCAGCACCTGAGCCCCCACCAGCACGCACCTGAGCCCCCACCAGCACGAACCTGAAGCTCCCACCAGCACGCATCTGAGCCCCCACCAGCACGCACCTGAGCCCCCACCAGCATGCACCTGAGCCCACACCAGCACGCACCTGAACTCCCACCAGCACGCACCTGAGCCCCCACCAGCACGCACCTGAGCCCCCACCAGCACGCACCTGAGCCCCCACCAGCATGTACCTGAGCCCCCACCAGCACGCACCTGAGCTCCCACCAGCATGTACCTGAACTCCCACCAGCATGCACCTGAGCCCCCACCAGCATGCACCTGCACGCACCTCCCAAACCCACATGCACATCCACAGAGCTGCACACCTATCCCTACACAAATACAAAGATCCCCCGTGTAGTCTTTACAAACTGTAGGGGCAAGTGCTGTTAGCAAGCACCTATGAAGGTCGGGACGGCACACTAGGGGCTGGGTGGCGACCACCACGCCCGGCCGCCTTTGTCTCCCTAGTGGCGATGTTTACACACCGCACCAGGTATTCATTTGAGGCTGAGTCGACTTACGGGAGGCCCAGGGCCGGTTGAAATAATCGTCACTGGTGTTGGCCGTGACCGGGAATCGAACTCGGGTCGCTGGGTTTGTAGCGCCGCAGCGCCACTAACCGCTGGGCCACCGCTCCACATCTGCCCTTGCACTTTTCGTCACGTGGGCCCTACCGGAAGCACTTGTCACCACACTGCAGGTTAGAATACATGCTCACCCACTCACTCACCCACCCACTCACTCACCCACGCACCCACTAACTCACTCAGCACACTGCAGGTCAGAATACACGCTCACCCACCCACTCACTCACCCACGCACCCACTCACCCACTCACCACACTGCAGGTCAGAATACACGCTCACCCACCCACTCACTCACCCACCCACTCACTCAGCACACTGCAGGTCAGAATACACGCTCACCCACCCACTCACTCACCCACTCACCCACCCACGCACCCACGCACCCACTCACCTACTCACCCACTCACCTACTCACCCACTCATCTACTCACTCACCTACCACACTGCAGGTCAGAATACACGCTCACCCACCCACTCACTCACCCACTCACCCACCCACTCACCCACCCACTCACCCACGCACCCACTCATCTACTCACTCACCCACTCACCCACCCACTCACCCACTCACGCACCCACTCACCTACTCACCCACTCATCCACGCACCCACTCACCTACTCACTCATCTACTCACTCACCCACTCACCCACCCACCCACCCACTCACTCACCCACTCACCCACTCACCCACTCACTCACCTACTCACCCACCCACCCACTCACCTACTCACCCACTCATCCACGCACCCACTCACCTACTCACTCATCTACTCACTCACCCACTCACCCACCCACCCACCCACTCAGTCACCCACTCACCCACTCACCCACTCACTCACCCACTCACCCACCCACTCACCCACTCACCCACCCACCCACTCACCTACTCACCCACTCACCCACCCACTCACCCACTCACCCACCCACTCACCCACGCACCCACTCACCCACTCATCTACTCACCCATTCACCCACCCACTCATCCACTCACCCACTCACCTACTCACTCACCCACTCACCCACCCACTCACCTACTCACCCACTCACTCACCCACTCACCCACCCACCCACTCACCTACTCACCCACTCATCTACTCACTCACCCACTCACCCACTCACCCACCCACCCACTCACTCACCTACTCACCCACTCACTCACTCACCCACTCACCCACTCACTCACCCACTCACCCACCCACCCATCCACTCACCTACTCACCCACTCATCTGCTCACTCACCTACCTCCCAACATCGCCTCACCCCCCTTGCCCCCCTCCGCCCCTCAGCTCGTATAACATTGTTCAATTAAAGGAACCTGTTGTCATCGATGACAAACATGATGGTGCTGAATGTTGCTGGCCGCTTGACGTTTTTCGGGCTTCTCGGCAACTTTCACGATCCCCGCTGCAGCCCCTCGCAACTCCTCGCCGCGTCCGCTAGAGGCCGCTGTCGCGTCACCTGAGAGCAACAGCGCGCCACTCACTCATCCGAGTAACCCGTCCTGTCCTCCGATGCGAGCACATCCCTGGAGGAGACGGAGCGATGAAATGAGAGCCAGGTGGGATCGTTGCGTCTCAACACCGTGACAGGTGGCGACGGCTTGGGGTGGCCTTCATCCAGCAGTGGATTGATCATGACCGACGACGACGATGATGATGATGAATACGTGACTACAATTCAAATAAACGATTTTACTTACCAGATAAAGTCCACCGAGCTATAATACTCTTTTTCAAAGCAACCTGGCCACACGTGATAGCTCAACGAAGTGGCTTATCATGTGGAAATATCTAGCAGCCAATGACTCTAAACGCGTGATCTTGACTCTTAACGTGGAGGGAAACCCCAGAGGGCCCGGGAGATAAATCCAAGCGATGACGGGGAGAGAGAGAAAGATACAAACTCCAAATATACAGCAGCAGGCATCGTCAGGGTCGGGACCGAACCCACGACCTCCTCCATACCGGGTGAGGTCGTTAATATCTCGCCACCGCGATGCCCAGCGGAAGTGACCCTGGGATTTAAAGGTCAGCGCCGGGCAGCTGCCGAATTCAACATCGGGCCCCGCATCTGCCGGCCACCCCAATTAAGTAATCAGCTGATCGCGTCGCCTGCAGTTAGCAAAAGCCCGGGCGGAGCTTCCGGTCCTGCTGACCTGGAGCTACGAGGGCCGACGCTCCGTGCAATAGCCAAATCGAGCCAGGGGTGATTCCCGAATGTGCATCGATGCATCGGTGCTCAGCTCCCGTTTACAGCCCTGAGCTGGTGATGGAAATTGCACATTCACGACGTGACGGGAGGGAGTCTATATAAGGACAACCACTGCTGGCTTTCCCACGTGATAGTAACTCGTGTTATCGATCCCCGGATGGAGGGATACTGGGCGGCCTCAACCCATAACCCCCCAAACCAGGAGTTGAACTCGTTGGCCGTGGTGCACAAACACAGCCAATAAACTCACGTTAATCAACGACACTGTGTGGCTTTAAATAAAGAAAGTATGTATGATAGCCGACGTTTAGGGCAATGGACCTCTTACTATTAAGGAAGGCCACTCCCGAAACGTCACCTATTGTATATTTATGTTTTTAAGGCTACACAGTGTTCGTGAAGAATGTATTGAGTAAAAAACATATAAACTGTATTTACCATTTGCAAGGCGTGTTTGTAGGCAGCATCTAGTACTTGCAAGTTGGTAGTAGGTGATTTTATCTACCCATGTATAACGATGATGGGTTGGACGCTGCGGTGCCGCGTCATATAGAGCCGTGTGTGTGACCGTTGGGAGCCACTCGGATTAATCCACCCGGTGGGAGCCACTCGGATTAATCCACCAGGTGGGAGCCACTCGGATCAATCCACCCGGTGGGAGCCACTCGGATTAATCCACCCGGTGGGAGCCACTCGGATTAATCCACCCGGTGGGAGCCACTCGGATTAATCCACCCGGTGGGAGCCACTCGGATTAATCCACCCGGTGGGTGCCACTCGGATTAATCCACTTGGTGGGTGCCACTCGGATCAATCCACCCGGTGAGAGCCACTCGGATTAATCCACCTGGTGGGTGCCACTCGGATCAATCCACCCGGTGGGAGCCACTCGGATTAATCCACTTGGTGAGAGCCACTCGGATTAATCCACCCGGTGGGAGCCCCTCCGATTAATTCACTTGGTGGGTGCCACTCGGATTAATCCACTCGGTGAGAGCCACTCGGATCAATCCACCCGGTGGGAGCCACTCGGATTAATCCACTTGGTGAGAGCCACTCGGATTAATCCACCCGGTGGGAGCCCCTCCGATTAATTCACTTGGTGGGTGCCACTCGGATTAATCCACCCGGTGGGTGCCCCTCGGATTAATCCACTTGGTGGGTGCCACTCGGATTCATCCACCCGGTGAGAGCCACTCGGATCAATCCACCCGGTGGGAGCCACTCGGATTAATCAACCCGGTGGGAGCCACTCGGATTAATCCACCCGGTGGGAGCCACTGGGATTAATCCACCCGGTGAGAGCCACTCGGATTAATCCACCTGGTGGGTGCCACTCGGATCAATCCACCCGGTGGGAGCCACTCGGATTAATCTATTTGGTGAGAGCCACTCGGATAAATCCACCCGGTGAGTGCCACTCGGATTAATCCACCTGGTGAGAGCCACTCGGATTAATCCACTTGGTGAGAGCCACTCGGATTAATCCACCTGGTGGGTGCCACTCGTTGCTGGTGTCGCTGCTGCCTCCGTGGCTCACCTCCACTCCAGGTAGTTGCTGCTGTCACCGCCGAGTCCTCTGCCTTTTCTCTGCCCTGAACTCTCCTTTTATCCACAGCCCCTAGCCACCCCTAGCCAACGGGAGAGCAGAGTCATCAGCTGCTACCTGAGCCATCACGCCCGACTGCCCACCCGATTGCTCCAAATCAGAACTCCGCGCACGGTTCCAGACAACCAGCTGGTTCACTTGCAAGAGCCGTGCCAAATTGACCAATGGAGAGCGAGTTTAATTTTGTCAACCTGGTGGGGGAGATGACGACGATGACGGTGACGATGGGGTGTGAGTCATCACTCCGCGCGTGCAGGTTCCACCAATCGCGAGCGAGGGTGGCGACTCTCTTGGGTCGAAGACTCCCGCACGCGGGCTCGGAAGAGCCAATCACTGATGAAGTAGCGTCAGCAGCCAATATCTATATATAAAAGGGAAATTTGTGAATGTGTGTCTGTTCAAAATGTTTAGCATACTTCCCGACATGCAACAAACTTTAAATTTGGCATGTGGGTAGCTTCCAGACTGTACACAATGCAAAACGTATAAAAAATAGACAATTGTATTTTGGGGGGGGGGGGGCGCAATAATGGATATATTTTTCACGGCAAGTGAGCGGTGACGTCACACCTGTGATGTCACCCGCATGCGGCAGCGTCACGCAGTGTGCCAGTGACGTCACGCACCCCCCCACCCCTAACCCCCCGCGTAGGCCGTGGATTAATCCAAGACAGAACCCAAGTCCCGGGCAAAGCCGGGTAGTAAAGCTAGTTGTGTATATATAGTATCATTATTCTTTATATATGTGTGAGAATACAGATGCAGAAGCTACGCATGGACACCTAAACATCCCGGCGTCAGTCTTCGATTGACTCACATTGTGCACTCATTGGTCTCTTAACCTGAATTGATGACCACGATGGTGTTACGTGATGGTGTGATGATGATGATTATGTATTGATGATGATCAAGTGAACAAAAATATTCATGATTGTGAATGAGGAAGACGTGATAACATGATGTGACATCATGCAGTAATGTGACACTGTTATCACG